GCGCGGTATTCCTGATGCTTCTGCTGCCCCTGACCTTGGTGGTCCTTCGTGTTTGTTTGGCAAGCGTTACTCTGTGAGTGTTGGAAGGACGAGCAACTCTTTAGTGGTCTGCAGTGGTTGCTACTTGCAGGTTCGTCCAATTCGTTGAGCTGTGCGGCTCAGGCTTACCGGGAGGGCCGTCCTCACCACCACGAGCCGCTGTTCGAGGAAGCCCAGCCCTAGCTGACCAACGTTGAGCTTTCTCCCGAGGGCCCCCTCATCGAAGACTTCAAAACTGAAGTGGCATCACGTTGACTACCTCGAATCGAGGCAGTTCGGTTGTAAACGAAAATCAGCCGGCTCTTCTTGACCTCTCCTCTCTTCTTGACCTCTCCTCTGGAAGTCCTCTTGAGGAGTTTGCAGCTGCTCAGGCTGTTTAGGAAGCATTAGACTAGCTGTTGGACGATATCTCAGGCTCGAGCAAAGTGCTCGACAGAGTTTAAACTTGCCTTTCCCGTGATGTTCTGGTTTTTTGCTTGTCTGGCAATTCTGATCCTGGCGTGCGTTGAATGCCAGATGCGGCGATACCGCTTGTCATGTTTTCCCGCACGCCCACCAGAGGTGGGAACGTGTGCCGGTTGCAGCAAGAGCTGCGGCCTCGACCTAGCCCGACTTGCAGACAACCAGAAGTGCCCCCCTTGGCAGTGAAAGTCGCAGGTCGTGTCATGTCATTTGTCACATGAAAGCAGCGTGCAGCTGCACTTGATTGAGGTGACGCCTTTGCAGGCGGCTGTTGCGATAGCTGGGATGGCAGAGCTGTAGTAACCATCCATGTCACGGTGCGCTTCTGCAGTTTGGGCTTGTTTGGAGTCCCTGAGCTTCGCCCTATAACTTGCTGGTGCGTCCACACCAGGGGGGCACGGACTCCCTGGCGGCTAGAACTGGACGTTTTTCTGCGTAGCAGAACCATGTTTTCCCTTTGGAGCTTCCTTGTCGAGCTTGTTGGCGAACGCAAGGCAGAGCAGAGCTGCCCAATGGAGCAGCATGACATAGACAACATGCGAGAGCACGAGTCCAACGAGGATCTTGAACGGGGCGAAATGGGCAAGCTCTTGCAGTGGAAGGTGGATGGAAAAGTGATTTTCTCGATGCAAGAGCTGGGAGTGTCCGAGAAGGCCAGGCCCCAGCTCGGTTTGCTCTCCCCGCAGCCCTACATGCTGTCGGAGCTTCAGAAGCTCACCTCACGCTACAGCTTCGTACCCGTGTGCATCAAGGAGGGTGACTGGAGTGAAGAGACCATCCAGGCCTGGGCGGAGAAGCTGCGGAATCAAGGGGTCACTGCCGTGGTGGGCTTTGCCCAGAAGGACGCCTGGCACCACTGCCTCCTCAACCGCGCTCTGGGCTGTGACTCCATTTCTCCGCTTGCCTACCTCACGTCTATGAACAAGTTCATGCAGCGCGCTTCTGCAGACTTAACTCCAGGATTTTGGTTCATGCCAGTGGACCCAGAGGTGGAGAAGGACAATTCGCTCATCATCTGCAAGGTGCCCGCCCAGCAATGGCCGTGCATGTTGAAGAACACTTCCCTTTCTTTGGGCCACGGCGTCTTCAAGTGTGAGGATTTGGGGAGAAGGGGCATGTGGGAAGAGTTCCCTGAACCCGACTTGGTTTAGCGCCCCGGAGAGAAGAGGGAGCAAGGGTGTACCCTCACGGACTATCACTCACAAGCCCAACAGCCAGGGGAACTGGTTGACGAACCCTGCCAACATCTGCCCCTTTGAGTGGAGAGACAAGTGGTCAACACAAGAAAGCGAGCGGTGACAGGGGTCAACACATGGCTGCCATGCCCGCGAATCGGGATATGAGGGCGTTTGTGGCGGCCATGTAGTATGCCTGACTGCGAAGCTGGTAAACAAAAGGAAAACAGCGCACAAACTTGCACACACAGCTTGAGTTGCAAGCTTGGCTGACACCCTGAACAAATCGGAAAACAACGATCGCCGCAAAAATGCCGCTGTGACCTGTTCACGATGCGCGCGCACTTGCAACCGCACCCTGGCTTTCGTAGGCGACGTTGCACGAGATCGTGCTCCTCATGCGCAACACCCTTCCCCCTTCGCCTGCGAACTGATGCACCTGTGGAGAGAAAGCCATCACCAACGAACCTCATCCGCACGCACAAGCTCTTGTCGGTACACGTTGATGACGGTTCTGGGCCTACGGGGCTGCTGACCGTCTTTAAGGTTGCAGCTGGAAGCCACCAAGGCCAGGGTCATCGAATGCAGGCGTTGCGTGTGGCGTGCGCCGCGCGCCTGTGGCAAAGAAAGAACCCATGCCAGACATATCAAACATCTAAAGGTTTGCACGCGGCACTCTTTACAAGCCTCTGCTCATGGGACATGCCGCCCGCCTGTGCCGTCGCGAAGGGTGTCGCTAGGAAAGCCCCGAGAGGGAACACTGCCATTGCCTCGGGCGCATCCTTGCTTGCCACTGCCCTAACAGCCCCAAACAGTCAAGCTAGATGGAAGCAAATGATGACCGCAAAAGCAAGGTCCAAGCCCATTGCCAAGCCGATATGGGAAGGACTCTGGTGGAAGTCTTTGGACATAACCAACGGCAGGAACGGCGTTGGCATGGCCCGCATCCATATTGCAAGTCCTGACATGTGCTGAGATATCGGACGTGAGCAAACCCGCATGTAGGAGTTCGCCACCCTGGCTTTGATTCGGCTCCTGCTGCAGCCAGCAAATAATAAAAACTGCAGCTGTGGTCCTGCCAAATTCCAACTCGGTACACAGATAGGAAAGTCAGCAATGCCAGGTTCTAGAAAAACGACATGCGATTCCTCAAAGCCGTGCGGTATACTCACTGAAACACACCTCAACATGTTAGATCTCACTAGACCTCAGCGCATCTGCTATGGCAATGGACTTGGTGCTCGCAGCCGCCCAACGTTCTCGTCCTTCTTGGGCGGCAAAGCACCCTTCATTTCTTCGCAACTTTGCACAAGCATGGCTCCAATGATTGGCACTACATCGACAGTCCTAATGCTGTGCCTCTGGTGTAGGAAACCTGAATCATCTCGACTAAGCCAATTAGAAATCGTGCTGCCGAAATGATGAATCCCAAGTCTTTTCCATCTATAAATGCTCCAGAATGCTCTCCTAGCTTTGTGAGCCATACCTACATCAATTCTTTTTCTGTGCCAGCCTGGAACCGAAATCTCAAGCGCCAAACAGGGCCAAACAGCCATAGACTCGCATGAGCCAATGCGTTTGCCGCTTTGGTCGTATGTGCTTAGCTCGCCGTCAACAACACCGTGCAGCGGCTCGCTCTCAGCCCTGAGCTCCTATGCTCCTATGGGAATCCAGCACGAATCTTAATGTTACAGAATGCAGGCTAAGTATGGCTAAGTGCCACCTCAGGGCAGGTTGCAGGGCCGCGAGGTCGCAAGATGAGGCCGCGAGGCTGCGAGGCGACTTCTCAAGGCCGCGTGGTAGGGTCGCGCGGCTGGGGGTTTCAGGCCGCGATTGATAGATCCACATGCATATATATATACACACATGGTACCCCACCCCCATACCGTTTCCGTGCCTTTTTCTCAGAATGGAACAACTCCGTCTGCTTCACAGCGAACGCAACCATGTCTTGATCCAGGTTTATCATAGAGACATCTCGTCATCATGCATCTGGGATCATCGTCTATTCTGACCATTTCAATTGAAACGGCCAGTGTTTCAATTGAAAAGGTCGGGATCCAAGATTTTTCAAGATGTTTCAGGGCTGTCGCCGAAGGCATCTTGGAATCCTCCATCTTAAATCCTGGCCGATTCAACTGAAACGTTTCGAAGACAATTGAAACGGTTACTTTCCCTACCCCAGCCCTAAACCCCGAAGATCTTCAACAATAACACCCGAGGTCGAGGTTGCGAGGCCGTGAGGTCGAAAGGCGCGGCCACGAGGTCGCGAAGTGAAGATTCCGCGAAGTGAGGTCGCGAGGTCGAAAAGCCAGGGCGAGAGGTTGCCGAATTCCGCACATCCACTGTCACGTCTACTCTCGAAGTCTTGGGATCCCAAAGAGGCCTAAGATTAAGTTGCGCGTCGGGTGAACCAGCCTGAACAATAAATGGTAATATCCCGCCCGTGCAGAAATAGTGAAGATTTCGGATGATCATTCATTTGAAGTGTCAATCCTCATCGAAGGTAATCCTCTAAAATTTAGTAAGACCCTAAACCCCTAAAATCCTTAAATCGCAAACCTCGCTCTCCAACACAAGTCCAGGAGAACAGCAGCACAACATACTTCATCTCAGCAGCTTGTTTTCTAGCGGGGCATAAGCGATGGGGCTCACAGAGTTGCAGTTGTGCTCTCAGTGACAGGAGCAGCCTGGCAGGCATTGCAGTTGCACATCAGATCCAAAATCTCTGCGTGGGCGCTGATTCCTGCGACCGTGCCTTTGGGCATTCTGGACTGTCGTGCGTGTTGCCGGCAGCTTGTCCAAGCTGCTGCTCCAGCATCTGCCTGCTGGTTGCGCTCATGGACACTGGATACACTGCAGGCACCGCATGTTTTCAGCCCCTCGTCACATCCAAAGAAGATCGGCCAAGGCATGCGCGACTTTTCTTCCAATTCCCAAGTTCGAGCTTGTAACTAAGTTGTAACACACGAGACCTGACCTAGCGACACCGGACTAATCTTGCTGGGTTTGTTTGACCATTGAAAGCAAAGCACGTGGGTGAAGTCCCAGACCAGAAGACTGAAGCTCGTGTACCACCACATGGCTTTGGCCTCTGCATCTCTAGCCAATTGGACACCTGCTCGACCACAGCTTGCTCCGCACCTGCGCGAGGTGCAAAAAGAACAGCCTTTCATGTCAAAGCAGCGTCATCTACAGCTTTCTACAGACACTCTGCGCCTGGCTAGTGTCAATGATACTGTATATGGCTGTGATGTCAAGGACCAGGGATCTCTTCAGGACGCTTAAGGCTGCCGAGGCGGAGGCTTGGAGCTGCAAAGCCAAGTTGAGGCGTAAGCTGACGCCTGGCAAAGGGGGCAAAACCCTCAGGCGTCTTTGCCTGCCTCTGTTTCTGGGGGGTCTTGCTCCGCTGGGCTTGAGGAGTCCCGAAGGACTTTCTCTCTCTCTCTCTCTCTCTCTCTCTCTCTCTCTCTCCTCTCTCTTGAAGCAGCATATCCTGGTTCTGTTTTCTCCCTCATCGTCTCTCTGTGTCTCTGTTTATCTTCTTCTACACAGCGGAGGCCCACGTCCAGAGGAGGGCTCGTGTTCTCGCTCTCTCTCTCTCTTTCTCTTCTCGATCTCTTTCTTTTTCTTTCTGGGGGCAGAGGGGCAGGCCGCGAGCCCCGGTGATCGGTGCTACTGGAAAACTCCAATGGAGGGGGGAACCCATGAACATAGTGTCCCTCAAGAAACATGTCCGTATGAGGCCTGAGGAGCGTGTTTTGATTTTGAGGGATAATTGCCCTCTGCAATCCCGCCCCCCTCCCTCGAAGCATGAGACTCTCATGATTCTCATATTAGGGACATTTCTATTAGGATTGTTTGGCGAATGGGCCTTGGTGCGGCATCCTCCTGTGGAAGCCTTGGATTGGCGGTGCTGGCGACTGGCTGTGAGTCAATGCCTCTTTCCATCTCGCAACTCAAGACGCATTCCGAGATGCCTCTCGAGCCATCGCACCCGGATCTTCATGTGATACTTCTCGTAGACCGGGTCGTGAACAATGTGATACCTAAGGTTGTGCTGCCACTGCTGAAGAAGCAAGATCATTGTCAGCAGCACGTCGTGCATATCTTGCCTGTATCTTGCCTATCTCTGGTACGCAAGGCCGGGACTGACGGCTGTGCTTGCTCCATTCCCGGCCATTCCACCACCTCTTGAAAGTTGGCATCGGTACACGCAGGGTGCACGGCTCGGTCGCTGCCATGCGCTGTTGCCAGTCATTGTGAAGCTTCCAAGGGTCATTATCAGCTGTCACAGCTCACGTGTCCGCTTCCAATCGTCCCAAAGCGCTAATGTGGCACATGACAAAAAAGGTCCAAAAGGTGCTGAACAAAAACCTGTTCACGGATTCTACCCAGCAGCCGCGTTGTCAAGGTCAGGCAGTTTAAAGCTTCCACCGGCTCCATTCTCTTCTCAAACCCAGGCAACCCGGAGTAAACTTTAGGGTTTAGGGTTTAGGGTTTAGGGGGAGCAAACCATGCAACCTGAACCTGAACCGCTGGCATCTCCGGGCTGCCAGGCTCAACTTGCTCGAAGCCCAGCGCTTCCACCCGAGAGGCAAAAGCACGAGCGACCTACGCGCTTCGTGTGCAGTGCGTTGCAGTTGTGGGAAGAGCCAAAGTGACTTGAGCAATTTACAACTTTGCAGGCATGGTGGACGCTTGCCGGAGTCAACAGTGCCTGGTGCATGAATGTGCGGCTGTTGGATGGCAGCTGTATGTCCTAGAACGGCGCGCCACTGACTTTGCAACGAAGCACTAAGTCAACATCACAGGTCATCCAGCTGACTGCCCGTGAGGTCCCAAGTGAAGCTGCTTTGGCCCATGGCTGCCTGGGCGTCGACATTCGCAGTAAAACGGGAAGGCACAACTGCTATGCGCAGAAACGATGTTTGCAGGTGTCAACCGCGTCAGCATCTTTCAACATCGTTGTTGTTGTCAAGGTTTCGACCCCGGGCCTCTTCGAGGCAGGACTGCTGCAGCTGCTCCGTTAACCTGAGCGCATGCCGCAATGTCTCCGCACCCTCCGCAAGATCAGCCCTGAACCTGAGAAACAGAACCTTATCCTGGCCAGACTTGGCTAGCATTCTCAGTGTGGTCGCAGCTGGACACTTACTTCCTTGGACCTGGATGATATGCATGACATGCAAGGCGACGTCTTGTTGAGTCACTCCGAAGGCAAACTCGAACGAACTGCTGACAAGATACCGCTCGGCCAACCTGTTGGTCTCAAGATCTCTGTGCAAGGGCTCTGGCTTGAGCTTCGGAGTAGCATAAATCATTCAAAGATACTCAAAGTGAACAGATCGGATCATGTCTCAAGGTTCATAGGACGTACAGCATAGGTCTGACCAGTGCTGTTTTTGTGTCTGTCTTGCGCGGGTAGGAGGCGTCCAGGCCCGGCCTCTGTGGCGCGCGCTGCGTCGCAGAGGCAAGCTGCTCGGCAAAGGCCGTCAGCGGTGGCACTGCAGAAGGCTTCGAACGTACCAATTCTTGGGAACTTGTTACATGAAGCACCGGGTCATCCATGCGGAGATTGTGGCACTTGTGCAAAAAGTGGTGCCGGTAGAGCTTTCCCAAGCCACCAGGTGAGGTTGATGCACCCAGTATGCACTACGCACATGTATGTCCCAGTTCTGTCCCTGTGTCGGTATGGATCTATCCGCCGACCCCTGCTTTAGCGGGGGAGGCGTCAGTGAAGACCCATTTGCCCTCATGCCCAAACCCCCCCGCCCTCACCCCCTCGACCTCACCCTTACCCTCTTAGGGGCTCCAGCGCATGCCCCCCCACCTCCCCCCTCACCTTACACTTGGAAAAGTGTTTTAGGGGCTCCAGTGCCGCCCCCCCCGCCCACCCCGCCCACCCCGCCCACTGCCCCCCCGCCTCCCCCCTTCTCACCCCATGTTGGCCCCCACAGCCCCCCACCCCGCCCGCCCTCACCCCTTACCCCCCACCTCACCCCTACCCCTGACCTTTTACTTGGAAATGAAGTGTGTCAGGGGTTTAGGGCACGCCCGGACCCCTACCCCCCACCTCACCCCTGCCCTTGCCTTTTACTTGGAAATGAAGTTTTTTGAGGGATGGACTGGAGCCCCGCCCACCCCCCCCTTACCCACCTTTTACCTAAAAATGAAGGGTGTCAGAGGTTTAGGGCATGCCCGGACCCCTACCCCCCACCCCTTGAAATGAAGTGTTTGAGGGGCTCCACCCCCGCCCCCCCCGCCCCCCCCGCCCACCCCCCCCCCTTCTCACCCCTTCGCCTCTACCCCCAACCTTGCCCGCCCCCCCCACCCCCGCCCCCCACCTCACCCCTACCCCTGACCTTTTACTTGTGTGTCAGGGGTTTAGGGCATGCACGGACCCCTTACCCCCCACCTCACCCCTACCCCCTTGCCTTTTACTCGCCCACCCCCCCACTGCCCCCCACCTCCCCCCTTCGCCTCGACCCCCAACCCTACCCCCCAGTGACCTTTTGCTTGGAAATGAAGTGTGTCAGGGGTTTAGGGCATGCCCGGACCCCTACCCCCCACCTCCCCTGCCCCTTGCCTTTTACTTGGAAATGAAGTGTTTGAGGGGCTCCAGTGCATGCCCACTGCCCCAACCTTGGCCCGGCCCCCCCCCCCCAACCCCCCCCCCCCCACCCCACCCCCCCCGCCCCCCCCCCCCCCCCCACCCCCCCCGCCCTCACCCCTTACCCCCCACCTCACCCTGACCTTTTACTTGGAAATGAAGTGTGTCAGGGGTTTGGGCATGCCCGGACCCCTACCCCCCACCTCACCCCTACCCCTTGCCTTTTACTTGGAAATGAAGTGTTTGAGGGGCTCCAGTGCATGCCCGGACCCCCCCCCCCCCCCCCCCCCCCCCCCCCCCCCCCCCCCCCCCCCCCCCCCCCCCCCCCCCCCCCCGCCCCCCCCCGCCCCCCCCCGCCGCCCCGCCCCACCTTCACCCCTTCACCTCTGCCCCCAACCCCCCCCCACCCCCCCGCCATCACCGCTTACCCCCCACCTCACCCCGGTTCGGCTCTCCTGGTTAAGGGGGTTGAGGGTTTAGTAGTTTGTGAGGTTTAGGGTTTAAGGTTGCGCGCCAACTCCCTGCGCGTGAAGACTCAATGTTTCGCCCCCCCTGAACTCTAGAACCTATGGATATATGTAAGCGCAATGTAGGGGGTGTTTGTGTAAACCCTAGGGCCTCCTGTCGGGGTCGGCGGCATTGGCGGTAGCCATTAAATATTATAAGAGAGCCAGGTTTTGTTTGGTGTTTGTTGTTTTTTTTGGGTATGTTTTTGGGTTTAGGGTTTAAGGGTTTAAGGGTTTATGGGTTTATGGGTTTAAGGGTTTTAGGATTTAAGGGTTTTAAGGTTTAGGGTTTTAGGGTTTTAGGGTTTTAGGGTTTTAGGGTTTTAGGGTTTTAGGGTTTTAGGGTATAGCGTATAGGTTTAGGGTGTAGAAAACCAAAAACAACTCACAAAAACAAAAGAAACCAGAAAATGCCCAAAAAGAACCCCCACTCGAAAATAAACTTGGACATGGACTTGGGATCTTCCGTTTCTCTCCTTTCCCGGTGCCTTTTGAGTCTGCTTGGTCAGCGGCATCTCGGCGATGTTCACCTTCGGGATGCGAACACCGCTGATCTTTCTACATGCCCTCGCAAGACTCGTGCAAGCCAACAAAGGCCAACCGTCAAATCAGCCTAAACCCTAAACCCTAAACCCTAAACCCTAAACCCTAAACCCTAAACCCTTAAACATGCACAAACCACACCAAAACCAAGGACCTTGGCCTGCTGCGCCATCTGACTGGAAGGCGGCCTCGGACTGTCCATACTGATAGTAGCGGCTTAGCACTTCGGGGCCTTTTGGGGCGTCTCGCGCGCTGAACGTGCCAGGTTGCTTCAAAGGCAGTTTCAGGGCTGACGCCCAACGCATGAAACAATCCGACATGTGCGGGACATTTGTCGAGGCTGCTCCTCGCATGAGGCCATTGAGGCCTGAGGCTGCTGCCGAAGACAACCTTTGGTCAGCACATGACTCAAACATCTCAGACTGACTCCAACCTGTCGTGCCAAAAACTTCCCATACCTCCCCGCCACTGTGGCATACAGTGACAGGATACGACGAGATCTTACTCAGAAAAGCGCTGGCATTGACAGTCTGAAGATCTAAGCGAAAAGTGCCGCTCGGAGTGCACAAAGCTCGCTGTGGCCCGGGCCGCGCGCCAGGGCTTCCGGGCTGCAAAGATTTTGAATGACAACATTGCTCAAACAACTGGATGTCTAACTCAGGAGGTTTCAGGAGTAACAGCACAAAGTGGCACGGGAAGACAACTCACAGCAGTCATTTCCTAGCCGTGGCAAGTCACAATGTGTAGCGACGGCAGCTGCTGGCCTCGCCCGAGCTTTCCCTGCCCGCTGGAGCCTTCCTATGCGAGCAAGTATTCACGAAGGTGGTTATGCTGATTCAAAGGCAGATAAGATGAAACTGATACATTAATCTTACGTAGTACTGCAATTTGCGAACCAAGGAAAACTGAATCTTCCTGCGGTCAAAAACTCACAAACTCAAGGTGATGAAAGGATATGTTTAACCAGCAGGCCGCCTGCTCGACGGTGACCCTTGGGGTGTCGAAGAGAGGGCGGACTCACGGAGCCTGGCTATGTGGATCTGTGTGGATATCCCCCCCCGGCCTCTGTATCCCAACCAATTCAGACTTGCTTCAAGAATTAAGCAAGAATTAGGCAAGAATAAAATGATGCAACTGTGATTAGGAATTCCGTGCTAGAAGTGGTCCATATGTGCAAGAGAAAGGCTCCCTGGACACAAATTGCTCAGGCAAGCCCCAACAAGCGAAATCTGGCAAGTGCCTTACTTGTCAGCAATGTACGAGCAGCAGAAACAGGGACAGCCATGCGAGACTGGGGTCCACACGAGCGAGAAGTTGGCAGTGGTAGTGAGCCGGCTACTTCCTGCGCAGCCACAACGGGATTTATCCCTAAACCCTAAAACCCTAAACCCTAAACCCACTCTGAAGCCAAAGACTACCCGGTGACTACACTGATCAACACACCACGTCCGCATCGTCCGAGCCGGATGGTGGACGCAAATGCGAGCCGCTCTTTAACTCCTCACGCATCCCCATCTTTGACTTGAGTGACTGAAGCATGAAATGAGTCTCGTGCTCTACAATTCAAGGGGCCCCCCTACTGTACGACTGTGCACATCCTACGATCTCAATGTCGGCCTCTGAAGGATTCTCGGCAGTCCTGCAACTCAGAACTCACAATGACTCACCACGACTCAAATCTCACGATGCTCACTCTCGCATCAGGAACATCAGGTTGATTCGCGTCGCCACGCAAAGAGAGAGCCCGGCCTTGTCTCTGGCTGCTCCTCACGCAAAGGGAACACAGACTCCGGTTGACAAGTCCAACACTGGGCTAGCAGATGGCCTGCCACCGCTCGAAAACATGCTTATTCTCAGGTCCTGCGTGGCCTCCTCTGCAGCTTTGCCTGCTGGAGGCAGACAGCTTTTCCAAATGCTGGTACAGTGGTCTCAACACATTGACACTGGAAACGACCACTCTACCAGAACTCACAACTTCAGCTCCAGCACCTGCATCACTTGCAAAGGGCCATAAGCTCGCCTCACATGCCGGAACAAGCCGTGGTTGTGTGCTGCCCACGAAGCCCTCTACACGACTTTCAGCTGTGATTGAGGAGGTATACCGGCCAAAACGATTCACATGTACTTGGCAGCTTGCTTTTAATTTCGTGTCCCTCCTTCGAGTTCAGTCACCAGACGACCTGCTTTCCACATGCTCCTTCCGAAGTCTGAGAAAGCGGCCAGGCTCGGAAAAGAGCTGCTGCCCTGGCGATCAGCGTCTTTCTCTCACGAGGCACATCAAAGTCGGAGGCTGGCACCCTGAAACGCTGTGAATCCAAAATTCATATGAAACATTATGTTATGAATCATGAGCTGATCTGCCTCCTTGTGCCCTTCGCTTGACATTCGAGGAGAAGGCGTTTTGATGAAATGGCAGGCTGAAGCCTGTGCAAGACGTGGCATACGTGGCAGTGTAAGGGACTTGGGCCAAGAACTAAACGACGCCTCACGCAGCACGTTTCGATACGGGTTCGGTCGAGGAGCGGGGAATGCTGAGAGATCGAGGTGACAGGAAGATGGCTATTCGCAGAATGGTTCTGCTGAAAGGACATCGTGAGCTGTAGAACTATGAACGGCGGAGCTAAAAGTGACACGTGCCGCAAAGTTGTGCGGCGGGTTGTTGTGGCTCATCATGTCCGCCGATGACCGTGATCAAGAAGCTGTTTCGACTACATAAAAACACGCTTCAACAGAACAACTCGGCCTGGCCGTGCTGCTCAAGCTAAAGGCTTTGCGTGCTCGCCAGGGTGCTTCCACCAACAATGTCTACCCTGTCTGTGTGGTGCAGATTGTTTGTGTGCAGCACTGCACCTCTATTGGTGTTGCTTGAAAGCCTGCATTGACCTTCGTTCACACAGTTGTGAGGCTCAGTATCTGTCATTGTTTCGAGCACATGTGGCATTCCTAAAGACAACAGCATAGCTAGTCAGGGGTGGACAGACCGTGTCAGACTCTGTGCTGTGAGCTCTTTGCTGCCTCGTGTGATCATCTCATCTCATATTGATGCAGCTGAGCCAGGACCGGCGGTCGATTTGTTCCGAGAGGAGGCCATGAAATCTGCCCAGCACTGGGAATCGCGGCTGAAATCCAACAAAAATGCTCAGCATATCTCAGCATGCTCACACGATGCTCACCCGTGCAAGTTTCCATATGTCTGGAGCGATGATCATCCAGTCAAGGCTACGCGGCTACACTAGCGGCTACACCAGTCAGACGGCACCAGGAAAGCGAGGGCAAACAAAAACATCAACCACCAACCACATAAATGGCTGAATAGCTCTCATGGAACCACTCACCTACTTTCTGTGCAGACTTTCTGCTGCACCTGCTGTGCCGGCACTGTGAAAGCTGAAACGGGTTCGGGCTTCGTTGCTCAGGACCTTCCAGCAGCCCGTTCCATGCATAGCAGGTGCGCAATGCCAGGCAAACATCCAAATCGTGCAACTCTCCTGCCAAGAACATGTAGGGCTCCCGACACCAGCAGCTCTGGCGTAACTTGCTCAAGGTGATCTAGGAGCAATCCTGCCAAGAACTCACCGCAAGAATCTGCAGGAATCTGCTGCAGCCCTTGTTCACTCAGTTCCCTCAGGACTGCAAGATACTACAAGGCTCCTGTCTGTGAAGCCCAAGCATCCATTCGCTCACGCATCAGGTCGATTCGGACCTCGGGATCTCCGACAGACGGGGGCCGTCGGGATGGAGCTGTGGCATGCGCGTGCGTGAAAACACGAATGCACATCCATCAAAGACTTGATGTGTGTTCAAAATATTCAAGGATAAGGATCGGCTTGATTGAGCATCCCCCTGCTGTGAACTTGTTCTGTGTCAAAAACACCTTCTCTTGTTTGCACACGGTTTGCAGGCCCTGGGTCATGGTTGCAGAGTTTGAGGCGCTCAGCTTCCGAACCAACGGCTTCTGACGAGCCCATGGTCCAGAAACCCGAACATATCAACACATGCTAGCGCTGCTAGCGCATGAAGAGCCGAGGCACTGGGTCTAGAATTCGTGGCTTCACCCAAGTGACTGTGACCATCTCGCTCACCTTTTCTCTTTTGCTCATACTTGCACTGCTTGCAAGGTGTTGCAATGCGGGGAGCAAGCACACTGAAACATGCAACCACAACCCTTGCCTCGTCGATCTGCCCACGGATGAGTGCAGCACACATCGAACGCATCACCAGGTGCTCCACCTGTCAAAGAAATCCAGGCAATCGCTTGGAAGCCTCCTTCAACCGGTTTGCTTTTAGTTTTGTCGCTTGCAGCGTGGCAAGCCAGGAGCGAAACTTTTTCCCAGAGCAGCCGCTGTCCAAGAACTACAGGGGCCTGGGCTATGTAATCGAGACCCTCAGGTGCGAGCACTGTGCAGCTATGTCAGCTATGTTCCAGGAACAGCTGCATCCGCATGAGCCAACGGTGTTCGGTGCACACGCTGCTTCACCTGTAAGAAACTGTACAGGAATCGACAGTATGTGCATCATTGACTTCAGCTTCATTGTGCATGCGGCTCACAACAAAGAAGCTCTCAACAATTCCGTCCGCGCTCGGTGATGACCATCGGGACAGCCTGGTCAGCGAAAGACAGATGCTCAGGCAACCAATGCTGGACCCTCTTCACGGTCCTGCTGCCAGTACATGCCGGCGTATTGCCAACCTGGAGCAGTTCGCAGTTGATCAAGTGCTTTGCCGAGCATGTTTGATGCATCAGGCAACCCAAGTTGCTCTCATCCAGCACGGTGTGCCCGTATATAAGTCTGCGCGCGCATGCGTACACATGCGTGTGCCGGCCTATGCCATAGGCAGAAGCAACATACCTGAGTAAGGCCAGGGGACAACTTCTGGCAGGCTGCAACCATCGCAATCGACTCAACAGCTGGTGGCATTTCACAAACTCCCCATCCAACGGGGCCGATCTCTGAACACTACACTCTTTCGTGGGCCACTTTTCTGCATCTTTTCCGGAAGGCAGATGCCATTGCTGAGCTTTGGGCTCCCATGCGCGGTACTCACCGGAGAGCTCGAAGCCAATGTAGTTCACCAGCTCCTCTGGGGCACTTTGTGGGAAGCATGAGGCAAGACACCCAGAATTGCCAATGCCGCCAATGCCAAGGAAAAGTGCCAAGCAAAAGGGCAGTCGTCTCAGCGCTGGGCATCGTAGACAAGCACTGAGCCCGGCCAAAGCTGGCAGGCTATGCGTGAGAGGACCTGGAAACAAGCGCAAAGCTGCTGAGTTGGTGAAAGGTCACTCGTGCGATCAGCACACTGCGGAAACAGTAGCTGTGAACGTCAGGACGCACGCCTCGACGGCAGATGGAAAGATGTCCACATCGATGTGCGCAAATGCCACAGGCCTTGCTTGGAACAACACGGCATCAGCACAACGGACTGCGATGCACAGGAATGCAGACGTACCTCAAGATCGGCATAACAAAAAACCTCCCTGTCACAGCCTGAATACGAGTACCTGCTCAGCTTTGCCAGTGGTACAGTAGGTGGCCGGCATCTCTCCAAACTCGTCTAGGTCACCTGCAGGTCTTCATGTCCATGTGTTTGTGTCCGTGTGTGTGTGTGTTGCTTATGTACCAGCGACAGTAGATCTGAACAAGTCATGTAATCGCCAAGCATCGCGACCGAAAACTCTCGAACTTAAGCCATTCAAATGGCCCCTTCCCCGCCCAGCTCTCCGCTCCGTCATGGGCCTGTTTGGCTCAACCTCCTCCTTCCACTCACCCTTCCCTAACCCCAACTAAGCCCCAAATGTGAGATACGAGGCCTCGCCCCGAGAATTCTTCTGCTGGGACCATGAAAACTGACATCCAAGCTTTTGATGGGAATGTTAACCTGCGAAGGTCCTAATCGTTAAGTCCAGCAACCAAAGCCCTTTACAAAAACTAAAAAACTCAACACATTACCCTCAATTCAGCCCTATCTACTCAACCTCGAGCCCTGAAACCTCGGACTCTAAGGGAGGGTTATTTCGGCACAGAAACCTCAATATCCAGCATCCCCTTAGACTTCAAGCCCCCTCCGAAAAAAGTCCAGAAGGGCGTCTCCGCAGTGCTGTTGTTTTTGCGTATTCGGGGTGGTTTAGTAAACGGGGAGGGGGGGGGGGAGCGATGAAGCTTTGTATGGGGGCATACACGATGTGGTCAAAAATGCCGAGTTTCTGCTTGAAAGCCATGATCGGAGTTTCACTTGGGAAGTTTACGGTTGTCACTTCGTGCATGAGCGGCTGCATGACCAGGTCTGGTGGCCTAGTGTGTCAGAGAAGAGGCCCACGTGAATCTTGACCTCTGTATCATGGACATGCCCACAGTCAGACTCAAGAGCACGTACGACGTACATGATGATCCTACGAAGCTGTTGCAACGACAAGTTCCCTCTCAACTTGCCAGAATTCACTGCAACCGCATCTCGAGGCCGTGATAACGTCAGTGAACAGTGACTGAGCCATGGGCATTGGACATCTCCAGTAGATGCTCCGGGATCTTGCAGCATGCAGGTGACACACCATTACAATCGCTACAAAGATGATGGTGCAACTATTCGTCTTGCTCCAGGACGCTCCTAGAAATGCAGTGTCGGCTCTGCTTGAGAAAACATTGGTTAAGACTGTGAAGAACAACAAGCGGATTCGGATTCCCAAGATTCACGGAGTTGAAGGTCACGTTCTAATTAAGCACATCAGAGGGCAACGGTTCGTTGGGAGAGTTTTTTCTTAGGTCTTTGCTTTGTTGGCGTCAGAGCTGGGCGCCTGCAATTAAAGGTCTGGGAAAACGCGCATGGGACCCCAATCAGCCCCCGTGCCATAGGGATCTCTATGTCTGACATGGCTGGCGAGACTTCTAAACTCAAAGCCCTGACACATTTATGCTAGCTACTAGTGAGACTTCAAAAGTCCAAAACCCTGAAGCGCTGGAAGTATTACCACTGCCCCCCTTTGGGTTAAGAAAGTGCGAAAAACACGCTGACCACTGAATCTGCTCAACGGAAATCTCGAACAGAGGAGAGTCAGTGACCCCTGACCTCTCCGTTGGCGCCTTCCCACCTCTGCTGAAGGTGCCCGCTGCCAAGTGCGTATGGTCCCAGTCTGATGGCAGGCCCTGACAGTGAAAGGCATGGATGAATGCTGGCTCATGATGCCTCATGCTCATGCCACGACAAGTTTAAGGTGGACGCTAGCATTCTGCCGTCATTCACTCATCAAACCACGCTGCAAGGAAGGAGGGCCACAGACTCACTGGCAGACATCGGAAATCGCAGATGTGCTGTGCCTGGAAGGAGTCAAAGCCGTGCAGCATTACCTCCTGGCAAATGACTCAGGACATCTCAAGACTCATAGGGAAATCGACGAACCCGAGCCGTTTTGCCCACGGCGTTTAGCGTGTAAACTCTCCCGTCAGCTCACAGGCGCCTTGCCCATCATGACTTGCATCTGGAATGCGATCGCCTTGCTGTCGGTGTCTCAACCCCCCATGTAGGAAGTGTTTGGGGGCTGCAGACGTGGGACTGCGCACGCGGGCGCAGGGATGTACTGAAACGTGCACATGCGATGAGTCGCAGATGTCGCAGCAAGGCTTGCGCAGCTGTCGCAGTAAGGCTTGCACAGCTGTCGTCTTGCCAGAGCCAACGCCGAACTCCAGCCTCAGGGCCAACTACCATGATTCCCCCAAAAGTGCTCAACACTATGGGGTTGGAACGTAGGAAGGAAGGTTCCTGTAAGTTGTTGTCAGCGCAACTCTCGCCTAGGCCTCGGCATGATGCTTGTTCCAGGTCAACAGGGCGCGTGTAGGTGAAGGCTTGCCTGCTGGTTTCGGGCATGGTGGTTCTCCTGGCTTCGGCATTCGGCCGCTCCTCGCGGAGGGTCACGTTTGGCTTCGAAATCGTGCGCCCGCCTCGTGTTTGCTTGCATACTTCTCGCGTATTGAAGAACTTTCGTCGGTTGTGCACATTGTTTTTGCGACTTTCCATCGTCGTGAAATTGCAATGTGGGGGGCGCTATGCTGGCATGATACGTTGGTTTGGAGACTTGCGCCTTTGCATGTGTAGCTTTTGTTAACGCCTGGGGCTGTGACACAGGGCATCGGTACTATTCAGCCGAGAAGCCACAGCCCGTGCGGAGTATCAGGCGCTTGGTGTGCGCCCCACCTGCAATTGCAGAGTTACTTGCGAATGGCTTCATATGCCTGCAATTGGAATGGGAACAACGACTTCCCTGATACAGTAGCGGGAAAGCCGCTTCACAAAACTTCGGCAATTGTAAAATAAGTGTGCGTGGATGATAGCACCCTCGCGATTCCAACCCTGCAAATCTAGGCTTCCTGTGGGAACGAGCTTCGCGACACGGATGAAAAAACGTCTGGCTATACAGTAGGCAAGCAGAGTTGCATCACCTCACAGAGGTCACTCACCCAGCGTTTGCCTCTCCGAGCCAGCTGCTGGGGAGAGCGAGGCTGTGTGGACAGCGGCCTCCGAAGGTCTGCAGCTCGTCACTGGCAGTCACTAGCACAGGAATCTGTAGTTTGACGGCATCTCGCGTTTTGACATCTGCGTCGGAAAGGCTAGGGGTCACCGTGTCTTCGACACAATGTGTCTTCAAATATACCACGAAGCATTGAAACTTCGATTTTTGGCCTGCATCAAATCCAGCCAACAGCTGGCTGGCTGAACCTTCGGTGACGTGGCACAAAGCAGTTCACAACAGAAGCTGATTCCTTATCAGCGACCTTCAACAACACCATATAACACCATTCTCTTCGCAGAAAACATCGCAGGTGGCCTGGGCTTGCTGCCCCCACCAGAAGTTTTCACGGTTCACGTACAGCAGGCGCAGTTGCCTGAAGCATTTGCATGGTCCGCACCTCTCGTCCACCATGTTTCCAGCGCGGTCTATTGCCAGAAGCTGGAGGCCGCACATCCATGCTGCATACTGAACAACCTCGAGGAGCTGCAAACTGGGAACGTGAAAGATCGATGCATCTCCAACATTGAAACATGATCCTTACTTATGATACTTGTGCCACTAACCCAGGTGATCCAATACGCTGCAAGAGACGTGTCTGCAGCGCATGCAAAAAGCAAGTCTCGAAGCAATTCTAAGCTGCTCACCGCAGACATCGACTCCACAGTGTGCTCTGATACCGGCGGCGCCCACCTTGAGCGGCTAGCGGCTAGCGGCTATTGCCACGTGAAAATGAAGTTCCAAGGCTTTGGAACTACTGCCGAGAATTGAGTGCTCAACTTAACCCTGGAACCACAGCGGGCTTCGGAGTGAGCACTGCATAGCACTGCTGCCCAGAACTCCGAGAGTACTTTCTTGGATCCAGGCCATGAAGCTGGTGGATGAACCTGCTGCTCCTGCAAGGCATGAAGCCCCATCTGCAAGTTTCCACAGAAAGGACAAGAACGAACACTAAATGGTGGCTGGCAGTGCTGCATGTGGCACATGTTTCTCACGTTTCTCACTTACATGAGGCTTGCCAAGGAAACAATCGTGTGGACCGCCACCCCTGGCCTGTTCCACCGACCCTGTGTGTTGTTCCCTCTGTGTGTTCCGCATACTTCGGCACCCTTCGGATATCTGAGTCTGCACCCGAGTCACGTCGAGACCCTAATGCTAATTGACAGCATGCAACAATTTGAATCTCTCTGCGAAGGTCAGAAGCATTCACGACACACATTCTCAGCATGCCAAATCATGCTATCATCTTATGCTTTGGGGGAAGCCATTCTTTCACCGAGAGGTGGTGCAGGCCTCTTCCGACAAGTATGACCTGCAGGAAGACAGGGGCGGGCCCAGGTAAGCCTCGCCATTCGAAACAAAGAGTCATGCAATACACACAAACATACACAGACGTTCAGCATGGAAGCCCCCTCAGCATTTAGCGGCACTCCGAATTCTGGAGAGGCCTCGATGCGGTATGTAGCAGCAAAACGCACGCCTGCCTCAATCGCAGACTTTCCCTCCGACATGCCAGAAAAGACCCACACAGACTTTGCACCATAATTATAGCAAACGGTGTAGGCCAAAGGTGCGACTCACAGTTCACAGACGTTCGCTGCACAGCTCGCAGTTGAATGATCCCCAGGACGCAAGACAGGCCGACTTGCTGGGGTCTGTAACAGAGCTGTCCAACTCAAGCTGAGCTAGAGGCCGCTACTCTCCAGCGACCTCCTCCGACACCATCTTTCCCCCGCCCAATAAAGCCTCAGCCGAACAATCCAGGATGTGAAAGCGGTAAGTAGTTTTTGAATTCTGACGTAGATGGTCCAAGGCAGTCCGCCGACTTCTTCGATCTTTCAGTGGAGCCATTGTTGAATCAATAATATGAGCTTCCACCAACACAAGAAGTGTCAAGCACTGTCAAACCTGAGGCCGCTACAGGTCCAAACGCGGGCGCAAAGCTCCGCGCGCCAGGTCTGCCAGTGTCGGAGTGCTGAGTGGAACTCATTGGCAACTTATGGCAACTGTGCGGAATGATCTTGAAAATGCGTCACAGAGATGTTGCAAAGCTCCGAGTACGCGAGCTTGTGCAAGCTTCCAACAGCTCAGGAGGTCAAAGTTGCACTTTCCACGCCTCTCCGAAGCAAGCATCTCCCAACCTGGCACATCCCAGGGACTTTCCCAAAAACACCATGCAGGTTCTGAAGATTGCGCAACTTGTCAAGGCAATCCTCACTCAAGGATAGGCAACGCTCGCAGATGCTTAATCAACACCGTGTCAGCATGACTCGTCCGGCTGCACTCGGCCACCTGTGTCTTGTTGAACCCTACACCTCCATTCTCTGAATAGGAACGTTGAATGAGGGGACTGCGAAACATTCTCAGCTGTCAGGATATCAGAATCTGGTTTACCCGACCTGTCTCTGCGTACTGGTAGGAGAACATGCTCCAGAGGCGGATTGGGTTGTGCTTTGGCGGCCTTGATGATGTGCAAAAAGCACGACACAGCAAGACTGTTCGGGCAAATGCCGTCAGATGCTGGCTTGTCTTGGTTATTTGTAGAGGATGTTACAGGAGGCCAGCATAGGCCAAGCATGGCCACCGATTCTTGAAGCCACATAAACTGAGAATGGCTTTGCGGTTGCAAGCGGTATGCTGAGGATGAGGCGTGCCACCAGACACCATCCAATCTTCAACTTTGGCCTCTAAGCCATTTTTGATTCGACAAGCCTTACATCACATCAACGACGCAACCCTGAGCCTTTTTGCGGAGATGAACCTTGAACTGGAGAACTAATGTTGAGGCAATTGCCATTACTCGTAACGGCATGGCACAAACTTGAACGAGTGGTAGCACAGCATAGCACGTAGTACACACGGATACAAACATTTGATGCTCAGACTCAGATCTTCGTGCCGATCTCCGATTCAACGCCAAAGAAATCATTCGAAACGTCGTGCTGCTTGTACGTCACTGGGATTTGTCACGGAGATTCACGGAAACAGCCTGGCAACAGCCTGAACACTGCCAAGCTACGATGCTGTCATATGGTCCTGCATGTATTTCAACGGGCTCGTGGAATTCCTAGATATCCTAAACCTCGAAGCCCTGCTCCCCGAACATCCCTGAACACTTTACTCTATTTAGCATGCATTCCCCAAACGTGCCGGTTTTGTTACAAGCCCTCGGCGCAAAAGGCTGCCTAGGCCTGCTACAAACCTTGCATTGCTACACATAGTTAGGTTCAATGAGACTCCCGGTGTAAAAACACAATCAAACAGACATACTCATTCAAATGAATAAGCAAGAATACCCGCATTCGCCCCCGCAGCACCTCATTGCTAGTGTGCGACAAGCCGAAGAGGCCGACAAACACGCCCACTTCAGCCTGAGTGGACGTAGCAGGTTGCAATCGTGTTGGACGAAAGCAGAATGAATGCGCGCTCAAAAGACAACAGAATGATCCGACGAGGGCGTCGTCGTTGATCTGCTTGCAGAATGGACCCAGCGATGCGATCGATGCATAAGTTTCATCGCGAGATGTCGGGAGTCGATCGGGAGCCTAGTTGGCAGCCGCCCAGGAGGGCCCCCGCCCGCCCGCATGCCGCAAATCCTCGATATACTCGACCTAGCTAGACTCAATGGCTCACAGACAAGATTGTAAACAAGAAAAGCAGCTGCATGCAGCTGCTAAAGAGCTGCAGCTTTCGGGATCACCTGGATGTCCGATCTCAGGGGCAATCCAACCAACACCAAGGCCCTTGTATTATGCTCGCAGATCTTCAATCGATGCAGCAGACACCCCAAGCTCGCTAGATGCCCACCAACGCTGGCCAAGCAACTGCCTGATCGTTAGTCAGCTAGTCTGAGTCACAGGCTCCGCTGGGCAGCGCGCTCGGCGAAGCTTCGATGAGGAAGCCAAGTCCTGTACGGGAGTGTCCAAGACAGTCCATGCGCCACGGTCACACTGGGATCTGTCGGGCTGGGCCGGGCATTTCACAGGCTCTGGGAGTGTCCATCTCGTAGTGCCACCGTCGGCCGCTTACCAGCCTGAAGCTCACAAACTTGCTCAAACATGCTCAAGTCTCAAGTACAATATACTGAAGTACAGTACGGTACAAGTATGGTACGGTACAAGTATGGTACAGCGCAGTGATCTGAGAGGTGCAGGTGCATGACATGCATTCACTCTGTGCCTCTTGCCGCAATTCAGCGGCAAGATCCCGAAGAGGCCTCGCAATGGTGTGTGTTTCTTAAGATGCACAGTTCGGATTGCGCTCTGATAGGTCTGGGTCCCATGCCAGGGGTGTAGCACGTCTGGCTCCCCGCCACCTGTACTGCTGAAAACACACGAAACCCATATGTGAACCGGCGTGGGCTGCTACAAGGCTCGGAATGCTAAAGTAACGCTTCACAGAGTCTCGCGAATCCAAATAATCTAAATAGTTTAAACGGCTCCAAGTTTGAACATTCGTGCCTGGGTCGCCGAGGTACCTCCTGGGCAGAGGAGCTCTTCACAGAAACAACTCGCAGCAGCAGACCAAACGGTCCAGACGCATGTCGAAGTGTTCCGCTGTTATCTTGGGCAGGGGCGATTCCGCAAGCAGGCTCACCTTGTCCAATCTCTTGCTCTCCCAGACGTGGTCATGTTTCTTGGAGTCATCTCAATTCATTTGCGTAACTCTCTTCTGCACTTGATATACCACTATATGCCACTCGTGAGCTGCCTTGAATGGCGTTTCGGCTGCTGCCCGAAAGCCCAGCACCTGATCAACATTTCTAAAGGGTGCCTCCACGCAAGGCTTGCAGCAAGAGACATGACGGATGGCTGATACATGCTAGGCGTGTGACGAAGGCAAGCGTTGAGATCATGGCTTCTTGCGGTGCACGTCATGGGCGCAGAGGACAGGTCTGCTTGTCGAGTTAATTTCCATTCTGCCGAATCGTCTGATTGGAAATTGAGAACAGATTTGTCAAAGAGTACGACGCCCCAACTTCTGCGCAGTTTAGGAGTCTAGCCAGTATAAAGTCGGAAGCAGTGCTGCGTGAGTCGACTCTGTCAGGCGCTGGATTGAGATGCAGCCCGAATGGGATCATCATAACACAGCTGATCTTGGTGACCGGTGCTGAAGCGCGGCTGCGACCATGGAAGCTGTAGATGGCTGCAGTGCTAACATGCTCTACAATCTCAAAGTCCACCGCTGCGCTCCCAGAGGTCGAACCAACAAAGCCCCGGAACAGAGAAGGATGCGACATGTACTCACAGATCTGACATGTAGCATGTTGCGCATGTATATGACTGTGCTGACATACGCTGTAGTAGTACACATGTACAGAAGTTCACAGATCTGGCAACAAAATAGAGCAATGCTAAGCGAGGCGGCCTCAGATGCGCCTACCTCAGATCTCACAAACAACATCACTGATCAAGATCGAAGAAGTTCAGTATGCTCAAATCAGCAGCAGTGTTGTGAGGAAACAGAACAAAAGTAGAATTGCTGCATCCGCAACATGCGACAACTTTAACGCATTGGCTCGTGATGAGAACACTTTCAGAAAGCGAAGCTAATGACAACCAAATGGTGAAGAGCCCTTACTGCATGGCAGTTACATGCTTCAATTCCTCTATTCTTGGAGTAATTCTGGCGAGGCACTCGGCAGTGCTGAGCAATCTCCGCGAACGTTAAGCGCCGCTGCTTCTTCGGCTTCCTAAAAGCCAGCTCCATCAGCGACAGAGCGCACATCTTTCGCCTCCGCTTCGGGTCTCGGAAAAAGGACAGCTTGGGAAACACCCTTTGTTGCGTGTCTCTTCACATATCGGGTTGACTCCACTGCGCAGGCGATCCCAAGCCCTGCAGCCCTACAACGCCAGGCCCAAGTAGCAAGCAAGCAATTCATTCAAAAGAGCAGTAAAAAGCAAAAAAAGAAAACACAAATTGCACTACGACGTTTGCCCAGCAAGCAGGCATATCAGCTGAAATCTGGCTGCCCAAAGATGCAGCTTCGAGCACTGCCTGTTTTTTTCAACAGCTGGCACAGCAATCCTGATCAGTTGCCTCGCCTGAGCGTCTCCTCCGCAGACTTCAGCTCAGGACTGGCCTCCAAACGAGTTAGCTGCAGTTGTTTCCCGATGGCAACAGGTGTGCGATGCTGTCCGAGACCCAGGTTCATGCTGACATCTCTACAGCATGTTCCAAGCAGCCTCCATTTGTGCTCGGTTCTTGGAAATTGCTGCATCGAACCTCCGCAAGCCGGGTCATGTGTTGATCCCACAAGTCGCGTTGCTGATGTAACTGACTGACTTACATAATGTTGCATAACTGCTGGGGGGATGTGGCTGGTGTCTGTCTGAGGCAAGAGCAAATCGAACTTTCCCTCGCTGAATGCCTGACAACCAAGAGCAATTCCAAATGGCCGGCTTTGATGCGGTACGTTCCATAGCACATGCATGGATTCCTGTTGCACGTACGAAAACAAAGGCTAATGCTCCCGAATGCATGGATCACCGTTCAAGGCAACGCTGACTACATTCAAGAGCCTTGGGGGGGGCTAAAGCTGCACAATCGGTACTGGACTAGCTCAGCGCGTTGAATATAATTAGCCTCTGTCTTCAAATATGCAGTCAGGTCGACATAGTTGCCGGGCTGTGCTAGCCACTTGCTTTCGTGGGGATCCTGGAGATCGATGATGTCGCTGCAGGGGCTCTTGCAACAAACAAGTCTGCGTCATCTTTAGTTTCGATGGAACAGTTCAATGTTCCATGTAATGATCTGTCCAAGGTGTTCCTGCGCGCAACCCGCCAAACCACCCTTTTTGTAGTACCTGCTTGCTGCGACATCGAAGCACCGGACTCGGGACGATGCCTGTAGAAGGTCTCTGACCCAAGCGTATGCAGAGCCTCAGAGATGGCGCAATCGCAGCTGTGGACGATTTCACTCTTCTTTCCAGAAATTCGCGCAGCTCATGAAGGTGCGATTAGGGAGCAGTGACCTCTCGCAGCTGACTAGCCCGGGAAAGGCGGCCACATACTTTCGCTCTCACTGAGGGACAGGCCGTCGAGAGACTGGATGATCTCTTGCTGAGTGAGCTCGCCAAAGTTGAATTCCTTTCGCCGCCGGCACTCAACGTCTAGAGTGGACACTTTTCCGGATGAAGTGCTTGTTTAATTTGTTTTTCTTAGGCCCGCTGGCGTTGCCATACACAAGCCTGTTATAGAAATAGCTACCGCCCATGCAGAGTTGTTCTGCTTACTACTTGGGTGTGACTGCATGTGACTGCGTTGTTGCTTCGGTGCGCCTGGCTTTTGGTGAGCTACTGTGGTTGTTTGGTTCCCTGCGTTGTGCTCTCCTCAGGTCTGGCTGCCGCCCTGTTCGTGGCAAACTTATGATTTCAATCTCAGGTCTCTTATGACACACATAGACTCCCAGCCGCACCAACAACTGAAAACGGGGATGTGAGCGGAAAGGCCTGGAGTGGAATGTCTACACGGTTTACGAGTACGTGGATTGTTCTTAAACTTAGAAACTCAAATAGTAAACCATAGTAAACCCACACCCCTATAGACGCTAAACAGCTAAGGCTGATACACACACCCAAATGGACCTCATGAACTCCTTGCCGAATCACGTTGGACAGCTTTCTTACTCGGGATCCTTGCAGCTCGGAGTGTCCCCTGGCCTTTGGCTTTGCGGTTTGCTTGCTGCGGTGCTGTCTGTACTGTAATGCATGTTGGGGCCTGCGCGGCTGGAGTCACAGGCGCGCCATGGCGTGTTGGTCTGGTCGGCTGTCGAAAAATCGAAACCCGGCAACATGCACGACTTGCAGCATCTTGCAACCGCATGAGGGTGCACTTTTCGTGGGCGGTTTTTGTCAAGGGGCGCGATGGCAGATGCGCACATGGGCTTGATGCCATGCGGTTCGCGTATGTGTGCAAGTGAAGAGTCCTCCTCGGCAACCAGAGCAGCGATCACGGTCTCGAAGGCGATGCGCGGTCTCTCCTGAAGCGCTGGGCCGGCTGATGCGACTGGGGCGCGAGAAGCAGAAGTACGAGTAGCAATCTGTAGGGCACAGCATCTTGGCACGCTGAGGCTACATCCGTTTCCGGACAAGATAGTATTCCAGACTTAGATGCAGGACAGGCTCCTCTACAGGAATCGCTTCCAGCGGAGTGAAGGCAAGGTAGAGAATGGAGCTCTTGTAAAACCTTGGCTTCGTTTTCCGCTCACAGACACACTCTCTCGGACTCTCTCGTGTGCCATTTTTGCGAGGGCGCATGCCAGTTCAGCCCAGTGCTGCATTCGTTGGGGCCGTTGGGGGGGAAGTAGAAACTCAGGGCTGCCGGTGAGGCAAACCTCGGCCTCCGGGGCACCGGCTCCTGTGAACGTCCCAGAGTTTTCCAAAGCAGCGCGTTGGTCTTGTGGAAATGGGACTGAATGAGCGCCTGTACCTGACAGCTCACATGGGCCGACTCACCAAAGCCTTGAATGTTGCTCCGCATCGCTCTTCTCGAAAGCTCACAGTCAGCCCCTTGGATACCCTGGTCCATGCGTCACTTTAGAAATGCTCAATACCATCATCATCATCATCATCATCCTCGTCCACATCCTGATCTTCATGTAGACAATTATATATATATATATATGTACAATCATTATCACCAGCCTCGTAGGCGCTGTCTATCTCAGCCCCCAAGTTTTCCAGGAGTTCCTGCCAGGAGAATAGAATAGCAAAGGGAAAGGAAATGCCAAAAGTCCCAACATGTTGCACAGTCACAGCCAGCGCGCCCCGCAGTTGACTCAAAGACTGTCGCAGCCTTCGCCGACTCCGTGTCACCCGACAGAGTCAGCTTCTCGCCCTGCTGATTTGAACCCAGAAATTGAAGGAAGGGGCGTGGTTCGTCATAAATGCGTTGCGCTTGCTCGAAAGATGCCCGCAAGCCTTGAGGGCTTGCCAAAGGAACTTGGCATCGCGGCTCTCAGCCATCGCAGCCTAGTGTGACAGGCTTTCGACTTGCCTGTGCCATGTACGATGCACGTAGACGCAAGCCTACATTGCCTGCTTACACCCTGCTCCGGCCGCGGCCTCGAAAGGTGCGATCAGCTCCAATGCCACAGCCGGAGTCTGGGGACTTGCCACTATTGAAAGGATCTGAACCTGTCGCGGAAATACATTGTCTCTGAGAGAAAAATGGCATGGGCTCACTCAGAGTATTCAATGAGCTTCGCAACTGAGGCCCTCACCCATCGCACTTTGTCGAATCTCACCTCAAAGGCCTTGATGAAGCCTTGATGATTTATGATTCGTTCATGATGCAACATGCACGGCGGCAACTTGTGCAAAAGACTTGATATTGGGCCTTCCTCAGACGCTTAGCTTACAACCTGGTACAATGCCAGCGACGCACAATCATGCGAGCGATGGAATCTATGAAAGACATTTGGAACCTCCTCCCTCTTAACATCCCTTAGCGCCCTCCATAGGGTTCAACATGTCATAAGCATAAACCTAACTCGGCACGTTGACAGAGTCCCTGGCCCTCGAAAAAATCCTTCAACTCTGCAGCCGCCGCAGGCGTAGCAGCAGCGAATGGAGGACTCACTAGGTACCTGGAGACACCAGCGGAGTTCTGCCGAATTGAGTCTGCCCCCGTAGGCCACCACATCTCAGATGTGCTAGGGCACTCCAAGAGAGTCTGGGTGAGCTGGTGGTACCTGGATCAGCCCACGACCCCTGATCTCAGCCCACCGCCCAAAAGAAGTCAGCCCCAAATCCTTTCGCCCGGAGGCAGCAATGTCACGCAACGTTTAACCCAGTATTTGCGTGAAGCATACAAGTACCAAGAGTGACTTGGAACGGCTTGGCAATGGTTTAAAGTCGGTTTTGGACTTGTGAAGGCGCCGCCGAAGCATGAAGGTATCCCAAGATACAAGCTCCCAGCAGGGACGCTTCATGTGTCCAAGGTGCAGCTTGGCGTTCACGAATTTCTGCATTTTGTCCAACTGTTCGGAAAGCTCCGGATGAGCCTTCACAAGTGGAGTGCGCAGCCAGAGAAGCCTTCGAGATGCTACACTCTAGCTTCTTGCACGACTTGCAAGAGAGAGCCTGACAATCTCTCTCACAGTACACGCCAGATGGCGCCCCACCTTCCGCTGCGCGTCCAGCGCGGGACTTGGATCGACATCCATCCTTGGCTTCTCTGCGCCTCAGGTTGGCAATCGGCAACAGCTAGCACAAAGAAAGCAACAATTGGACAACCAGGGGCCAAGTCGAAGATGAGATTAGCTGACTAGCACGTTGCCTGACTGCTACAAGCTGTGTCGACTCACTGAGACAGACACCAGGGATGTGGCCTGGTGGAGTTCTGGCTTCTGACTTGGGCCAAGGTTGCATGAACAGTTGTCGCACACAAGCCGAAAGCGTCGGAAGACTCACCACGCTGCAGAACACAAAGCCACGTAGACGAGGCCGTGCAAGCAACGTCTGAGTCAAACTCTCAATGATATTCACACTCACCCTTCACGCACAGCTGCGACCTTTGTGACGAGTGGCCAGTGTTGGGAAAGCGAATGCTGTGACCGTGCATCAGGAATCCTATGTACATCTTGCGATCCAGGGCTGTGCTCCAAAGCCTATTAACCCTAAACCCTAAACCCTAAACCCTAAACCCTAAACCCAATTTCCTGTTACCAGTATGCGCAATGTAGTGATGCAGCGTACGGCGTCGGCAAGTTCAGCACATGCCCTGTGCTTCCTACGTGGACAACCCTTCTGACTGTGGGCCAGAACTAAGGCAGCCCCGTTGTGCTGGCGTCAGCATCTTCGAGCATTGGTCAGCCTAGCAGAGCTCAACGGAATACGAACGAAAACGAAAGTGACACATTCATCAACGATAACTCTTCGGAAAAAAGTCATGGAGCAGGTTTCAAGTTAGAACGTACTTTGTAGCCTTTCATGGCCTCTTCGCACGTAAGGACCAGATGCGGAACCTGCCACACAAGAGTCGATGGGCCTGCACCAGCAGCGGCCGCACTCGCGTCTTTGGCCTTGTTTGTGCATGTCACAGCATGTCACAGCTGATGACAGCATGCCAACTACGCCAACTTTCGGCTGACGAAAGATTTCAACAGGAGACACCACGTTCCATGATCTCGGGAGGCACCTCCACCGATGACTTTTTCTTCATGAAGTTCATGAAACTTAGGGTCCCTGCACTGAAGTGTTCGGGAAATGCAGCAAGCGGTGGCACTGTTTTAAGCAACAAAGGCGACTCCGATCAACCACTGGCTCATACTGGCTCTGCGCGTGACTGAAATGCTGGCTTGAACAGGCACCGGTCACCAATCCCATGCCAAGTTAAGTGAGGGGAGTTGAGTTGCAATGGAAAGGAAGCTGCCCTGGTCAGGCTCTCTGCACATCATGCCCGCCAAAACAAACTGCAAGGTTGTGAATGTGGCCGGTGCAACAGCAAACGCTTTAGCGTCGACCAGACCATCAGCCGCCGTGGGAGCCAGCTGAGAAAAGTGCCGGGAGATGTCCCCGCTCGGAGGGAGGATGCGAGTCGAGGCATGTTAAAAGGCCACATCACATGACTCGGCACCGCCGCGCAACACAAAGGCAAATGCCTTACGGCCACGAGTCATAACCTCGACATGCAGCATGGCGTCGCGTTTGTTCAACGCATGAGCACGGTAGCTGCTTGGAGCGATGTGGCTTCGCTGTGAAGGTTACAATGCTGTCGGTCATATATTTCGGGCCCATTGAAGCCCACATTTCCCTCGAATGACTGGAATTAAGCTGATTGCAACCTTCCGGAATGTTCCGGGGACATGTCCCTAACGGGAGGGGAAGGCTTGGCCTTCCTCCCAGTGCAAAGCTCGCCTGCCACGCGAAATGGCATCGGACCACAAGGTCCTATCTGAACAAGTCCCGCCGCGCTGCTACTCTCCCTGTCACAGTGTCAACTCGCTTCGTTACCGCTGTTAAGTTTACTGCGCAGCACACATGCTCAGACTTGCGCGTCACAGGAACAAACGGCAGCGGGCTAAAGAGGGTGCTGTGTTTTTACTCCTCTAACAGCTACTGACCCTTAACAGTCTCATCGGTGAACGGTTCCCAGCTCATGCAACACACGTCAGCCAAGCTAACAAATTTGGTTTGACTCACTTGGCGACGTGAAACGGCAGCTTTCTCTCCGCGTCCTGCAGAGCTCCGCAGAGCTTGGAGCTGAAATAAGCAACTTACTGACTTACTGTGAATGATTTGCTATGGCTTGCTACTTGTATGGCGTGCTTGTGGATCAACAACGGGCTTGACAATCGCCCATCAAAAGCTTGTTGTCTTTTCTTTGGCTTCTTTGGGGTAAGCTCTCATCAACACTAATTTCTCTGTCCAAGGTGGGCCACGATCTGCCCGGGCTAAGTCTCTCCCTCGGCCTAGAGGAACCTAAACACGGCGATGGCATACCACAGTGGCCTTTGCGTTCGGCTGTGCTCTGGAGCTCCCAGAAGCAAGGCCAGGGCTCGAGGGTCGGACCTGGCACGACATGTGCAAGACCGCGGGAAGACCGCCTCAACACCGTGGCAACATGTGGAAGCTAGGAGCCCACAGCCTAAAGTGTTGCAGTATGACTGGGGGGGGGGTCTTGTCAATACGTCTTAAAGTTAACGGCCGTGGAATACTCCATATTAGTTGTGCTTCAGGGATCTACCATAGAGCACTGCTGCAAGAAGCCTTCTGATTCTCCACGGCTGATGTCGGCTGCCACGTGATCGCGCGTGCGCTCGACGGCTGTGGTCCCTTCGGGCTCGACGGCTGTTGTGCCTGCGAGCTGCCGGCCGAAGCAGCTCAGAATTGCCACATGCATGCACCAACGCATGGAAACTTAGCACGTTGTTTGGACTGTGTTTGGCGATCACACGCTTGTTGTCAGCAAGAACGATGTTTGTAGCCTGGTGCGCATCAAGTTCTGTCTTGAAGGCGCTGGCATTCGAAGCGGTTGCGAGGTTTGGTACTAGAGTTTTGGCACTCCGTCGCTGGACCGAGTTTCAATTTAAACATCACCATTGCAACCATGACCTCTTCGAGAGCAGGGACGGGTCGTCTCATAGTAGGTGGCAGAATGGCAGAATCGGCAGACCGACACAAAGCAAAACTTCGGTGACTGCATTAATCTGCGACTCTGACTGCTTCTGGAGATCGCGTGACGATTACAGAATTAACTCCTGTCGCTTCCCGTATCAATGTTGAAGAGTGGGAAGCTTCTTGTCACACTGTGAATCGCATACGCCAACCGCGGAATACTGCGGAACAACGGAATAAGAACATAGTCGCAAAGCTTTAACTTAGGCTCCAGCCATCTCAATCCAAGCCCTGCTTTATACAATCTTTCGCGGGCTGCGTGAATGATGTGCTTGTTGGAAGGGAAAAACGCATTAGGATGGCCGAAGAGCAAGATGGCCGGGGAACTTGAACAAAGACCCGGGATACCCAAAAGCCGAGACGAAGTTCGGTTTTCCGGACACGTTCGCAAATCTGACTCCCCCAGCGCCAGCAATGGCATTTTTCAAACTGTCAGCATTCAGCTACAGCGCTGCAGAATACCTGCCTTATCCTCCATCTTTGGCATATCCTCGGCCAGCCGAGGAAAAGCCTTCGACAAAATCCATTGCACCTGCGACGCCATGCAAGCAGTGTTACACTGTGCACACTTGCCACCTCTCTCTTACCTAGTCAGGCAGTCGGTCAGTCTGGTCGTGTGTAAACAGCGTGTCTCGAGTCTGGGCTTCAGCCAAATCCATCCCAACACGAAGGCCTTGCCCATGTTCTCACTAGTCTCGCGCTTGAGGGCTCTGATAGCGTCTGAGAGCCGCTTGCCTCGATTGCAAAGCTCTGCGCAGCACGTGGAGATAACATCACTCATGATCGTATAGAGCTGTGATCTTGCGATGCTGGTACGACTGGTACGATTGGGAGCTCGCTTGCAGGCAAGGTGCATTCAAAGAGCTGTCGCTGGACATCAAGTGCGGTTGCATTGCCTCTCATGGCCTCTGGTTTTGGGGCCCTTTCGGACATTGAAACTGGAGCTTACTCACCGGCTATCGTAACCTGATAGTAGTGGTGTGTAGAGGCATGGGCAACCACTGCAGGATAGCGCAGGACTCTTGTCAAGAACAGATCAACGAACAGCCGATGTAAGGAACACATTGGGGTCTCGGCCATGCATCCCTCCACAAATCGGTCAATGCTAACTTCTTCGTCTTCCCCGGCCACCGTCCGAAAGAAGTGCCTGAGTGGCAGAGCGGTCTCATCCGAGCTAGGCCATGGCTACGCGGCCGCATCCTTGCACGCGCCATCGGTGCCGGGCACGGCCTTCTGTTGCGCACTTGTTGCATACCAAGGTGCTCGACATCATGCATCTCCAAGCCGACGCTGGACATATACGACCTTAACCGAGAGATGCGAAACTCGTGCCCTTCGTGCCCTTGTTGCTGCTGCCTCATGGGCTGCCTGATCTTCTTAAGTTCGCAAACTGGTAGCGAAAAGAAATGCCGGCGTGCACCTCGTACAGTGTAAGGCCTCTCCAAAAACAAAGCAAACACCCCAAAAACACCCCAAGAGCAAGACACGAAAACCCTTGGAATGAACGCGCGAAGCCAATCCATCCGGCGAGCCCAAAATGCCGGAAAGTGCATCCCTGCCATGTTTTCGGGCCTAGGCAGGAGGCACGAGCATGATTTCGAGTGCGGAATGCGCATAGCCCGTAGGTGAGAGCGCAATTTTTTGGCACCTGCAGGACAACCCATCCAACAGCTAAAATGTCTGAAAGTGCGTTACGTTTTCGCGGCGCGAAGCAAGCCTTAAAAGCGCACGGGACCAAGGCAGGAGCCCGATTGCGAGTACGGAATGTGCATGGGACCTAGGTTTGGGTCTGCAGACCCTGAAAATACGCACGGCGCCTGGGTCAGGGGGATCAATGAGGGTCATCGCTTGTGATCTAAAACGCGAACGGGCGGGCCATTCTCGTGCCGTTGTGGCCACACGATCCATTTACTTCTTCTCTTCACCCTGAACGGAAGACGCCCAAAGTGCAAGCACCGTTGGGGGAAAAGTCCCCCTTGATGAAACGCACCCCGCGCTGACCTCGATGCCTTCAAGATACTTTCACAGACTCCTTAAAATGTCACTCTCCTCCCCCTCCAACCGGCTCCTTGCTGAATTGTGAAGAGTCCCATATGCCATATCTGAGAAAGCTTCGCGCAGCATGCGGACATGTCTAAACATGCTCGCAAGTTCACTCCTTCATACAGCAAGCAGTTCGCCAACCGTAAGTCGAGACAAAACACACCATGACGTCGCTCCGCATATGTTTTTTGAACTCGCTCTTGGTGATGGTTCCTGAGGCCAGGAGTGCAGTGAAAGCAAGCTCCTTAAGGCTGTCGCTCAAGGAAAGCATCCTATTTCAGGGCAACATGGCTCGGCATTGCTCTCGGAGCAAAAACACCTGAGACCTGATTGCTTGATAGCCGAGCATAAAAAAACAAGCACGGTCGACGACAGCCGCCCACAATAGCCCCTCTGCCTGAGCCGTCAGTGTCCAACTGATTGCCTCGGGAAGACATTGGAGTGGGCGCACGATGCTGAAAGTAGAAGTTCTGCCTGATATCTTCTAGATGCACGCAACAGTCCGTAGTACCGACAACTGGCACTTCTCAGTTTCTCAGAGCTATTTCTGGGCCATGCGCAAAGGGCTTTGAACTCCTCCACCTGCCAATTAAGTGACGAGACCGGCATGTGTGGTGAGTGTGCCATACCATGCTCTGCTCAAATTGCAGCACGACTCGGGCTCGACTATCTCTACGTGCCTGCTTAGCCAGCTTCTTCTGCTCTTCCCAAATCATTTCATCTCCTCGGTTTCTGAATCGCACGGAGTTGAGAGGCTGCTTGCGACTGCGACTGTCTTGTCTCATGCAAGACTTCGCACCTAGTCACTAGTACTAAACCACTTGGCAGCGGATTCATTAGATTAGTTTGTTAGTGGATTAGGTGAGTCTACATGAGTCTTCCGTGTCTACTGTGCTACCATTCTGCTCCATGGCAGTGACGATATCTGTGGCAATGTTGTCAAGCTGGTATCACTTGGGATGCGGCTGTCAGGGAGGGCGGCCGTCAGCGCTCGTTCAACAAAGACTCCCGTCATGATGTTGAAGAGTGCAAACCTCAATCAAATTTTCATTTTCACGTTTCTACAGTCATGGCATGCATGATATATATATATATATATACACATATAAATATATATATATGATGCTTCGGGATGGAAACCGGGACTCTCTCGCACGAACGGATCATACTGTAATTGTTCATGGACCCAGGGAGCTGGACTTGGCCCGAAATTGCAGGCCAGGCAGCACAAAAAAGAATGTGTAGAGCAGGAACAAGATGTCGTAGAATGTACCACATTGCCGAACCTAAAGTGCATAAGCAGCTGGTGACGATGTCTGAGTGCAGGAGCAGACCCTACTTTGAAAAGCCCTCCTCACGCATCCTCACCATCTACCGCGTTTGGCTCGTGCCAGCGAGGGAGCTGTCAGGTAGTATTCCACCCAGTCGTTGCCACCCGTCACAGCCATGTAGAGCGATAGCCTCAATAAATGAGAATACGAGGCTGCCTACTCCATCTACCAAGCTTTGTACAGGCTGACTCAAACTCAATTGAACTGTTCAGAAATCCAGATGGGCAGCCACGAAAAAAATATGTATATAAATGCAAATTGCACATTGCTCTGGCGGACAACCGCTTTACAGGACTTTTTTGGCTAGTCTGGCTTTTTTTTTGGGGGGGGGGGGGGGCGGGGCCCTGTCGCTTTGCCACGTTCTGTCATGAGCATAAGTAACATTCCATCGCTGTCAAACGAAATAACAATTACAAATTATTGCTCAGACTGCCTCAGCTAACACATGCTACGCAAAAGGTCATGGCCCACACCAAGAGGCATGCTGTCCAACACCGAGCCGAACGAGTCCAGGATGGACTGCGCAAGGCAGTGGAGAAGCACAAGGCTTGCTTAGTCCAGAGAAGGAGATTGAGTGCAAGCGGGCGATGCGGTTCGCGTTTGGGCACTGAGCTTGCGTAATGACTCGTTACATCTAGTCCCAACTCAAGCTTCAGGGCAACTAAAAAACGCAGTCTGCTCATCTCTGCTCGGCCTGCTCCTCTTCTGGACTAAAGCTCTGATCTCTGAGCAAGTCTGTAACACCCTGCACGAAGACCTTGGGCGCATTCCGCAAGTGCGTGCCCCTTCGGTCCATTCCGCACAAACATCAGGCCGATGAATTTCAACAAACTATAATAAACTTAGTCTTGGTTTTTGCTCTGCCACCAGATGCAGCTGTCTGCTGAGGGCCACAGGAGCTTCCTTGCAAACTTCCCGAGGTGACTGAGGTGCGAACCAGCCTTGGCTTGCGAATTCTCTGCAGGGCTTCGAACTGTGCTGAGTCAGTATATCACTTCAACAGGCTCGCCTTGGGAGCCCTTAGGCATGCGGCTTGCTAGATGCCTAGACGGGCCCACCTTTCCTGTGTCTGTAAATTCTGCACAGGTTGCGCAAAGATGTACAGGAGAAAGATGAGCAAGGTCAGCCCCCAAAACCTCGACCAGTCCAGCACGGCTCAAGGAGTCCCGTGGTGCAAGTGGGATCATGTAAGATGTAAGTGAACAGTTCTTGAAGCCCTTTTTTCAGCCGAGGGGCATGGCCACAAGGCACTTGGTGAAGCTTTCCACCATCATGGAGAGCTCTCGGAAGACCTGCCGACCAGAACTCGAACATGGGTCAAATGCTTGCTTGCCTCAGCCCAATTTTCCACACGTGAATCAAGGCAAACTTCACTCTGCAATGACTACATGTGACTACAACGCAGTACACAATTGGCGTTGGACGACATGATTTGCAGGAGTAGAGTCTGAAAGCGAAAGCAAGAGGGGCGGATGCACTCAGGCCGTACCTTGATGATTCGGATAGTGCGGAGGATCTTCGTGATCTTGAAGAGACGGAACAAGCGCATGAAGGATACGTTGCCGCCTGCGTGCAGCAAAATGCATAGCAATCAGTCCGTTAAGCTCCAACCTTGCTCATTTTGCCGACTGCAAGCTTGCTTCTGTCACTTCCCTTGTCAAGCACGCAACCGTCCTGTAAATTGGATGCCAAGCTGCTGTTGGTTTCCTCCTTGTCCCTCGCCATTTGCATTATGTAGTAGCCGACATCAAAGCCGGAGAATGCAACCTCGTATGTGTCAATCGCACAAAGGCGGTGAGCAGGTCATCAGATCATCACGCAAGCGAGCAGCCGACAGGCACAAGACTCTCGGCTCAAAGACTCGAACGCTGCTCAGTTTGAAAAATTTTGGTCGGATTGAGAACAGCTGACGAGCTGCAAGCAGGAAATCAAAACAGTTCCAGCCCGCGCTCTCGCCGAAGAAGAAAAAACAACGATGCACCGCCAATCCTCAGCTCACAGATCTGAGTTTGCTGGTGGGAAGACACTGTGAGAGTCGCACAAGCATCCGAACCAAGGGCTCAGAGAGTCAAGAGTCGAAGCCCGAGCTCGATCGCATAGAAGGCCAGAAAGCCCATCTCCAGATAGTTGAACAGGGGCGGAGGCGTGCCGCCAATGTGATTGACTTCCCAATCCTCAGAACAAGTAGAAAAACAGAGAAGCAGCGTAAGCTCCAGGCCTTCATTGTAACTCTGTAGTCTTCCTGAATCTTAAAACCCTATTTCCCCGACACCAAGTCTACAACTCCGGACGCCCTGCCAGCAACAACAGTGGCATGCGAGTAGGGGGCCATCGGGGGGGGGGGGGGGGGGGGGGGCAAGATGGGGCAGGCCTAATCCTAAGATCTGGCAGTCGGGAAAGGTCGTGGTGTGTTGTGGATTGGCCTCATACAGGCGACTTCGTGCAAATCCTACCGGCTCCCTGCAACCTTGCAAGCGGCAGCATACCCAAAGATGTAAGAAGAAGATGCCAAAGGACTGTCAGTTGCCTGATTCTTACTATTGCGCGCTTTTGTTATAAGAGACCGGCATTCATTTCTTTCACGTTGTCATGGGTTTACGACTCCTGGCACGAGAGAAAGGCGTTGTAGAGCTTCTGCCCAGAGTTCCGACACATTGCAACACAACTCTGCAAGATTGAAACTACTCTGAATGAACTCTCCGGCAACTTTGAAGCACATATGCTCATGCTGTCCAGATTAGCGGTTGCATAATGTAGTTTCCGCTTTCTGTCCATTCGGAGCAACAAGCTCCAAAAGTTCGAATCGTCTACCTGCCTGAAAGGGAGGTGCTGAAGCTCTACAAGTACCAGCCGTTTCCTACTTGACTGCCTTAACTGCCTATGCTCTTCAAGTGACACCACTCCTGGCTGAGTCCGTGTGACTTCCGATTGGCGCTGGAGAGCACCCAGGTTCACTGCAGCACAGTCGGATTGGCCGATGCCGCCGCTCGGTGGCAGCCCGGTAAAATGCACAAGCTTCTCATAGCTTTACATTCAGTTCATGCCAGGTAGCTGAGGACATGGTCACCACGACCGCGTGCATCATAATCACCGTGGAAGACAGGGTGAAAAAAGGCCGGGACCTTGTGCGTTGAAACGAGTTGCCGCGGGCACTCCGTGGTAGCAAGGATGTAGGGTGCAGGTGGGCTCTTTTTTCGTCATCCAAGAGCTGCCAGTAGTGGATCTTTTGTGCAAGGGCTGTTCGGGTTCGTTGGATTTCTGTGGAGCTTGCGCTTGCCGCTTGACTCGCAGTGGGTTGTCTAAGCTTGGGGCTCAAGGATCCGGTAGGCACAGCCGCCACGTTCCTCAGCTGCAAAGGCATTCAAGATAGGAGGGTCATATTTCATGTTGACGGTTGCTCGTCTCAGGTCGTTGTAAGAGCATCGCTGAGAAAAGAATGGAGAGGAGTTGTTGTTGCCTTTTCTTCGGGGGCGGGGCGGAGTCTTTGGTCTTTGTTGGAGGTGGGGACAGAGTACTACAGCAGAGTTTGGATCGATAATGCAGGGTTTAGGGCTTGCGCAGGCCACGCAAACAAGAAATGACAAAACAAACGACAATCAAGCCAAGTAAAAAACCAAGTACCGCTCCCTGGACACTCCCTGACAGCATGCTGATCAACCCTCTAGGCTGAGTGTTGACGGGACTCGGGCTCCTCCAAGTGGCTCCACCACTTCAGCAAGGAGTGCAGGCGCCTTGCGCAGCTCTTTCTTTCAGTTGCTTGGTCGCGGTCGTGGATGGAAATCTTGAAGTTCCTGAGTTCGACAATTCATGCGGCCAGCAATGTTGATTCTGGGCGCTGTATTTCGCTGTAGAAAGAAAACTTAGACCAACAACAAGGCCCAGCACCCAGCGCCGAAGGACATGTCGCTACCACAGCATTGTCACCAGCTGTCACAACCTTGCCTCGACCGACCGTTAGGACCTGCTCAGAACTCATACTCCAGAATCCTCCAACCAGAGCCCGGAAAAGTGGTTTCTCGCCAGGGATCCCAATACCCACCTCTGCCACGGATGCGGTCGACTCCTACCGTCCGCATCGTGGTTGCCACACTCGGACCAGCAAGGAAAAGTTATCAGATGAGCTATGGAGACAATGCCAAACATCAACTAGCACTGCACTGCGTGTGGTGTGTGTGCGGGCGAGTGTGAGTGCGTGTGCTTGTGTGCGCGCGCTTCCATGCATCTTTTGCTTCCGGGCACGGGCGGGCGTGTTCGGGCGGGCGTTGGCGTGGGCATGGGCCGCATGGGGTTGGGTGCGTGCATGTGGGTGCACGGGCGCATGGGTGTGGCCGTGTGCTTGCGCGTGCCGCTCGCGCATCGCTGCGCTTATGTAATCCTTAGTAATTGAATGCGTGTGTGTGTGTGTGTGTGTGTGTGTGTGTGTGTGTGTGTGTGTGTGTGTGTGTGTGTGTGTGTGTGTGTGTGTGTGTGTGTGTGTGTGTGTGTGTGTGTGTGTGTGTGTGTGTGTGTGTGTGTGTGTGTGTGTGTGTGTGTGTGTGTGTGTGTGTGTGTGTGTGTGTGTGTGTGTGTGTGTGTGATATGTTATTTTATGAAGGTGCGTGTGTGTCTGTGTCTGTGTCTCTGTTCCAAGAAGATGTTGTACTGGACAATGTTAGTCGCCGTGGCCTTCCGCGTGGCTATGAAACGACGCAGTCCTTGGCAGAGCTGGCACGCATGAATTGGCCATCTCTGAGGCAATAGAATTACACAAGGTCACCTAAGCCATGCTGTAGCGATCTAATGATGTGGTTCTTTGAGGGTCTTGACATAAAAGTACCCACTTTGGTCCCACCTTAGATCTGAACCGTCAAAATCCTTCCCACTTCTTGTTTACATGCCGAGTTCACTGACAGTCAGGAACCCACATGCAATCCGCAACAACAGCAAGAGGCTGGCACTAGTATGCATTGGAGGCAGAAGGCGCCTGACGCTGACCCTTCCATCATCTGCGAATATCATTGATCCCATCCCGCCCCTGATTCGTTCCCCAAGTTCACGACCTCAGGACCACTGGTGTGCAGACTGCACACTCCTCTTTTGACTGACCCATGCTCCGACAAAAAACCCAACCCATCAGAGACTGACTCATGATATTATAGGTTTTGCCCACCCACGGCAGCTGTCAGTCCTTAAGATTCCTTAAGGGCAGCGCGTCAAGCAGCCAGAGACAGTAGTTTCACGTAGTTGCGCTCAGCTGTTTGCGTGGGCACAGACCTGCGTTGTACACATTGATGATTGGCGGAAATTTCCAAACCGATAGAGGCTCAGCGACGGTTTGTAGCCAGAACATTAGCATCCTAACCACGTTTACCGGAACTATTCTGCGAACACAGTTTGTTGGGGTTACCCGCTTTTATCACAAGCTTTGTGGGTGAAACTTTCCGGATTAGGTCAGCTGCAGTCTGAGTCCCCTTTTTCCCTTTGCTGGTTTTAAAAACTCAGGCACAGAGCTCTCTCTCGGGCTGCGCGAAAGGTTTCAGGCCTTAAGGGCCATGGCCAAAGCCCGCAAACCAAGCACAGCCAGCTCCATCTAAAACTTTTGTGGATTTCCTTACGAGATGAGGCCCCAAACGAATGTCACGATAGGATAGCCCGATCGCTTTAATTAGTAGGTTTGTGTTGGGTACTGGGGGGGGGGGGGACTTTTATGGGACTGGAAGCTTAAGGTTGTGAGGGCCGTGGTTTCAGTTTCAGCCCATGAAGGGCAGCTTCAAGCCTTTTGGCCGTAAAGGTTTCAGGGCTCAAGAGCCTTGGCTTGAGGCTCCACGGCCCTCTCACTGGCGAAGTTGAGCTCATTCCGTCAGCCGGGCAATGATTTGCTTGGAGCGGCTATAGCGGCTACTTGATTGGTCGGGAATTCTAGTACACGTCCGACAGGAACCAGTTCATATTTTAGAAGCGAGAAACGCACTGCCAGTTTCGCAATGAAGCAGGTGTTGCGCTGCAGTTTTGGTCCAGCCGCTGCCCAAGATGTGACGAAGTGGCAAGCTATCGTTGTGTTTGTAGCACCCTTTATCTCGCTGCTACGCTCACATTGCCGAGAGTCCAATCTGACTCTGAGTTTCCTCAGGCTCGTCGCCTTCACTGTTCGTGCTTGCAGCACGACTTCCTGACATCGACGAGCTTAGACTGCTTGGAGAGTGCAAGTGTATTCCTACAAGCACCAGGGGACTGTATTGTTCCATGATGTTGCACTATGTTAATTCATGATACATTCTGTTACGTTATGCTGCAATGCTGCATACTGCTTGTCTGTGATTCTCCGCCCGTTCTGCGCCGGCTCTTACTTGCTTTCGAACCTTAAAGACTGAAACTACGCAACTGGCCTTTCGATGCTTTGCGAGCATCCCTTCGACCTGAGGCTGAGCCGGAACGCTTTCCGGGGTCTCACACCATTCATGACTGGTGGGAAGCAAGGCGCAGAGCGTGAGCAGCACAGAACATAACAGTGTTGTACCTGTGCCTGCAGCATGTGAGGAATCCTTGTGAATAATTGCCATGTCCGCCGCTCCCGCTGTCTGTTTAGCCAAAGAACCAACAAGCGGTGAGCCTTTCTTCGGAGACTCACGGGCGAGGCGGCCCTGGCGGTATCGAATGAATCGAGTGTGCAACAAGCAAGGTCGTGAGCACCAGTCACCACTCAGCACCGCCCACGACAATTCACGACTGCATGCTGCCACCGTTGTCTCGTTGCCTGGCTCGGGACTGAGATGGGTGAATCAGCCCAGGTGTTGGTCAAGTTTACCTCACGACGAGAATCTCTTGCACGCAGCCGCCACCATGTTGACACGAGTAAACGGAATCACGTTATGAGCAAGTCGACAAACAATTGCTGTTTCCCAAGATCTCCTGCAGAGTTGAACAGAACATCCAACCAGTCCTTACGAAACAATTGCTTCATCTGCATTGGCCCTGCCTCGCGACCACGGCCGTCGTCGATGTTCTGGATGCCGACGAACTTCGCGTACCTGCGTGAGAGTAGTGCTGTGGGTTCAGACTTACCAAGCCAGAAGACTCACGACATGCCGCACGACACTGTTCGCCATACATGTACACGTGTATGTATGTGTATAGTACTTGTGCACAACCGGCATGCTTTCTTAACGTGCATACCCAATTCCAGCCCCGCCCCCCCCCCCCCCCCCACCCGCCCTAAACCCTAAGACCCTGAAGAAACACCTTAAAACCCTACAAGTAGAAAAGAAGAACATCCCATAGTAAGCCCTTGCTAATAAGGCCCTAAAGCATAAACCCACAACTAAACCTCTACATCTCTAAAACTCGAAACCAAAACCCCCCCACCAATGGGGGTTCCACGTGGATGAAGGCCTCTCTGGCTTCTGAATCTGAAGGGAGCGTTCCCTAATTTAATGTGTATTCTAAGCTCCTCCGCACTGTCCATGAACGCAAATGACTGATACATTGGAGCTTTAATGGCACTCGCACTGCCCTGGTCCCTAGAATTGTTTTGCGCAACTTCACAAATAACAAATCGCACGCCCGGTTGCTCAGTATGCTCTCAAGCTCATTCTTGCAGCCCTTGGACAGAGGTGCAGCCAGGAAGCTCGGCTTTTTGCAGAGTCTGCGGCTTCTGCTTCCCGTTGACGCTCCTCACCGAGTGGTTCGGGGTCCTGGCACGCCGATGGTGAACCGAAACGATAACTATGCATACATCCGCCACATCAGCCTGACCAAGGTAGTGATTCATCGGACAAAGCATGGGCCACTACAAATTTCGTACATCGCCATACCCGGCTGTGAAGAAGTTAACCCGGTGATGCTGGATTCCATCAGATTGAGTGCTCGGTACATGTCGGCGACAGTAACTGTAGGCTCTAGACAGCCATGCTAGGAAGCAAGTGGTAAGAAACGGGAGGTCCCGAAAGTCATCGTGCCCGTTGCGGCAGAGCCTGGGCTGTGGCTACGTCATGCCATCTACAACTCGGCATCTGCATGCGAGCTTCCTCTATGCGGCGAATTTTCAATGACCTCACAAATCCTCACTCAACACATGCAAAAAGCATCTTCTAGTCCAGAAGTCTAGAGTCTAGATCGCACGATTCACAGGAACGAGCTAGCTGCAGACACACCACTGCAGTTCCTTCCTACAGTATGGTGCTACCGCTGCACAGTCAGTCCCTTTGCGCATCAGCTGTAGTCGGAGAGGGCGAAGTCGGAGAAGCGGAAGCAGCTCCTGCAGTTCGACTGTCACTGCGACATGCACTGCGAGACGTCTTCTGAACAGCCGCCAAGAACAACAGCAGCATGGCTTCTACATACCAGACGCCAAGGCAACGAATGCGAGAGTGGAATACGATCATCAGGTGGGCAAGCCCGTCCAGGACTCCCAAGTCGCGGCGTGGGCCGAGGCATCTGCATGAATGCTGCCAGGAGTGTGCAATTTGCCAACAAAAGGATCTGGACCGGCAATTTTGGCTGAGCCATCCGCCTTGGATAAGCGGAGGAGCTCCATGCTGTACGCGGCGGTGTGATGGCGCGAGAGATCAAGCCGAACAACGCGCTAGATTTTCATCTCATGACGACCGATGACCGAGACTCAATATGAAGCTAGAGTCATGTGGACTTCCGATTCATGCCTCTGCTGCACCCGCCCTTCCCGTCCCCTTCCCCCTCTGCCCCCAACCATCGGAGAAAGGGTTTGGTGGAGTTTTGGAGATCCTCGAGCCTGAAGCTCCAGACTGTTGGCCGTACAAGCAGCATTTCGCACAATGCCAGCATATTCCCTGGCGGAGAAATTCCTCACGACCCCGATGATTCCCATCGGAAGTCTAGATTGTCTAACATTGTACATACATTCTCGCTGGCCAGGCTGAGGAGTCCGTGCCGTCGTTGCCGTAGTCCGGTCCACATGGCCTCCAGATTACAAAGCGAGGCAAGGTGGAGCTCTTAGCTGAGAGCATAGCTCGGTCCGCACTTTGTGCACCGCCCTGGGAGTAGAAGCCGTAGATATGGATAGCCCACGGAAATAGACGAAGCCGTAGATATGGATGAGGTGGCAACATGTGTGGCCCCATCCGAAACTTGCATACGGTAGTAAGTGGGGCTTTTCGCGACATTTGTGCACTGCAAATCTGCAGCGGCGGCAGCAGCAGCAGCAGCAGCACCAGCACAGCAGCGGCACAGACCTTAAAGTTTCCTCCCGCGACTCAGATTGAGTGCAGAAGCACTTGTCATCACGTGCATTTCTCCTCTCGTGGTCGCCCTGCCGTCTCCGTCTCGTTGATGGCCTAGGCAGGTCCCGCTTAGGGCGAGAATTGCTCACGAATCACAGTACCCCCGTGCTTTCCCAAATCACGACGCTCCAAGCCAACTCGATTCACGTAGGTTTGATCAATCTAAAACTCACATCCGAGCGAAGGGCAAGAAGCAGGTCTCCAGGGCAAATGCCGACAACTTGCGCAGCAGTTCCCTGCACCACCACGAGTTCTCAGAAGATTGTGAGCACATGGGAGAACATGGCTCTGCTAATGCTGGAGCGGGCCTCGTCCACTCTCTGAATGGTCGGCCTAGGCTTCCAAGCTGCATGGCGAGCACTGCCAGGGATCTCATAGCCAAGACACCTCTCTGCGCTCCACATGACGCGTAAGCCCAAATGCTTCACCTGCAGGCTCGAAGCATTGTCAGATTCGCAGGAATGCTCATGCCTGTACCATCTTGTGCGAATTTCCTCGCGACGTGCAACCCTCATGCCACGAAATTTCGACGCATGGCAAGGTATCAGAAAAGATTATACAATATATATATATATATATATATATATATATATATATATATATATATCACTGCTCTCAGCATGGCTCACGACACATAGCAACTTCCACAAGTGACACAAACGCAGACGCGGCTTCACGAGCATGCACAATGCACAGTCTCTTGACGACGAATTGCCAAGGCATTGCCAAGGGCAGAAGACCCCCCCACCCCCCCAGTCCGTTACCTCCTCGCCAAAGATCTTGACAAACGGTGCCTGACACAAGGGGCAGGAGCTGCGCTCAGAGTTGTCGACGTTACGCAGCTTGCTGTATCTGCTGGAATCTGCAAATTCGTAAGCAGACCATCTATCCCCTCGTCAGCCTCGGAAAGCGAAACCTCCTCCAGGCCGATGGGCGCGCAATGCAACCTGAGTAAAAGCTGTGCCACGTCCCGGTAAGTTCGAAACATGCCGCATCAAACTCAAACATTTAAACACGTTTTACTTTAAATGTAGTTTAGTAACCTTGGAGCAGCACACATTGCCGATACACACATGAGGTACAACATGGAACCCGTGATGATACACATTGCAGCGATCATAGGATCTTCGCCTGGGAACGCCTCTGGTTCCAGAATGCGACCAGCGAGAGGAATGTGGAGCTCGTCCGGGGATTCCTTGGTTAGCTTCTTGATCGACACAGATGCATCTGCAGTATGTAGCACCAACATGGAAACGGCTCACGGCAAATCATGCTAGGCATGCAGGTGAGCAGGTGATTGATTGCTTTGGGCGTACAGCAGCTGGTCTTTGCACACCGTGCAATGCATCGTGCAACAAGAAAAGCACCGCTCCCCCCCCCCCCCCCCCAATCTGCGCTTTACTAGCCATGGAGCCGTGGCGGCATCGTGTCCGCACCTTGCGGCTTCAAAGCGAGCGCTGAAGGCTTGACGTCAGCAGTGCAGCATGGTGCAGCTACTAACAACGTTGGAACAATATCAGAGATGCTTGCATGATTTTGCAGGCCTCTGGAAGGCTGCAACCTCGGCCCTCAGGTCGTCGACCTGCTTCTGCAGCTCGGACACCACGGAGTCCTCATTGGCAGCTCCAGCATGCTTCAGGGCTTTGTGAACTCCACTCAGGCTCAGACCAGGGCATGATATCATACAACATCTCTATAATTATTATTATTACAGACAAGGAACATGAGTGGCCACAAGGTCTGCCACCAGAACATGGAAGCTGCCCATGGCAGAAAAGTCGGGATGGGTCACCGACATTCCGATGCAGGAGCTTTGAGACATTCAGTCTAACTAGTCTAATGTTTCAATTGTCTGGAAATTAGCCGTTGCCAGCCATGGCTGGCTGTTCAGGCGTGTCTGTGCGTGTGTCTCGGCTCTGCCGTGAGTCGCATCACATGCGATGCTGTCTCTGCTGTTTTCAGTCACAAATACTCACCTTTGCCACACTGCTTTCAATCGAAACAGCTACAGCGATGGCAGCTTTAGTGGCGAGTGATGCTGACGTCCCAAAAACACACTTTCAAGCAGACACACGACGAGTTGCGGAAGCTCGTTGTACCTGGATTTTTGCAAGTTTGCAAGTTCACTTTACACTTGCGTCGACAAGGACCACCGCCCGTTGGGTGCGAGCTGATGGTAAACTGTCTCCCAGCTTCCCATACACGATAGAAGAAGAACATCGCCCCATTGCAGCTGCTGGAATTCGCACACATCCTTCCAGGAGGTTGTCGGCACGGAGCGATTCTCTGCCGCGATGCTCTGCTCCGCCTCGATGCTCTACTTCTTCTCAGGAATGGTGAACTGGGCCGCATTGGCTCCGATTTCCGCCTTTGCCGCAGTAGTATCATGAAGCTCAGACCAAGAACTCATGGCACACACATACACACATGCACACACACACAGACATACATACATGCATACATACATACAGACATACATACATAACAAATAAATTAAATAAATAAACAAAAAATAATATTGAGAAACAATAAATAAATACGAATACATATACGTACACAGAGACCTCCACATGAAAAGACTCACCAAGTGTCTTCGAAGTGGAATACAATCAGCACCGAACATCTGGATGCAATCTGGTTGCTTCAATATCCGCCTCTGTTGCCCAGGGTGGGCCAAAAAATGCTGGCCTGAGAGCAGCTCGAGCATGGTGCGCACTCACCAAGCAGTCCGCAACACGATGTTGGCCGTTTATTCAAGACGATATTACATTGAAGACGTTGCTTCATCGGGTTTGCACAGTATTTATTTGCTGACAACATTTATCAACAAATTTCGTCCAGATGTCACCAGCTATGTACCTGGTCAAGTTTGAGCTGGTGACCGTTTTGTTCTATTCTATTCATACGAGGTCATCGTCGGACTGCATGATCGCGCCGGGCTTCCTGGAACATAGACACATTACTGCCTCGCCCTGGCTGCTCACCTCGCGAAGGGGATCGTCAGGCCAGTCTTGAAGGACGGCCGTTCGTGCAAGTGCTGGAGCCAGGCCTTGCAGGCCAACAAGTCACTACATCTCGCAGCTTCTCAACTTCGGCTCTCGGTGGATGCAGCGGTTGTGTGTTGGACCAGCAGCTGATGAGGTATTCGATCAGGCCTGGAGCTTCTTCATGTGACTGATGTCGACGCAAGCCCAGTATGCACTGGCAGCCTCATGGCAACAGCTGAGGGACTTCGGATCCAAACACTGATCTGCCAAAAGTGCTATGACGGCGCACACTGGCCACTGTACATGTCTGCCCAACCCCGTCAGCGTCCCGCGCCGAAATCTACCGACCAGTCAGACGCCGAAGTGCATAAGCAAAGCATGCAACATCGACTGCAGAGACCTGCATGGCAAACGACTTCCAACTCATTTGGTCACACTTGCACACACACACACACAAAATCCCAGCATGAGGTTTATGAGAGACAACTCGCACAGACCCGCCTCCTCGCCAAGGAGAAAGGGCCCCTTGCTATCGCAAAGCTGGTCGTCCTGACATGCCAGGCGAGCGCAACACTCGAGGACGCATCACAAAGAGGAACAAACCTGCCCAAACCGACAAAAACATCACCATGCCAGTGCGGTCCAACCAAGCAAGAGCCATTGCGAGCAAGCGTCCAACATCTGAAGGCATCGCTCGGCTTCTTTGCCAAAACGCGCGATTGAAAAACTGTCAACTTCTCCTTTCGTCGCGGCGATGCGGTTGAAGTACATGCTTTGACCTTGCCACACGAAATGAGCTTGCCAACTGTCGCACAGCTTCTGACCATGAGAAAAGTCGAAGCTCGCTGATGCATTTGGCAAGACACGAACATTGCCTTGCTCGTGCCAAGTCACCCATCATGGGTCCAAGTGCACTGACTTGCCAGTACAGCCACTGCTTGCATTGCAGATGCTTCTCCAGGTTTGTTTCCTTCGTTGGGAGCAAGTTGCTATTCAATGTTTCGCATATGTACTCCAAGATTGCACCGGACTCTGCCACTGCCACATTCCTCTCACGGTCAATGAGCGCAGGAATCCGACCATTCGGGTTGATCTTCAGAAACTCTGATGACTTTTGCTCATTCTTCGCAAAATCCACAAGGCACCAGTCGTAGGGAAATTGAAGCTCTTCAAAAAGAATGGGGAGCTTCCATCCATTCTGTGTGGCGTAGATCAAACAGCAAAAGCGCGAGTGACCAGAGGGCTTCCAGGCATCCTCAAAGCTGATCTGCCGGGCTAGTTGGGACTTTCCAGGTGTTCGGGTGACCGCCATGCTTGCAAAGCACAGCGACGAGGCAAACCAACAAGCCAGGCCAGCCGCTGACACACGGAAAACAGCAGAATAGCTCTGCTTGAGCCGCTGTCTGTGAGGAGTGATGCGTACATCACGCACGTGCTGCCCTGACCAACCTGCCGACATCCTGGCTGGCGGAGATTACCAAGGGTTATAGGTCCACACTAGCTGACTGTGGTCTACTGACGCTCCCGGGCAAAATGACTCGACACTTCCAAATCTCGCCTGCTATGGCAGCAGAAGGTTCAACATGCGCACCGAGCAGCCACAAGATCTCTACGATTTCCTAGCGAGCCTTCGCCAATGTGCTATATTACTAGTACCCTCAGCATCCCTCAGCCAGCACCAGACCTTCCCAGGCTTGCGGCTGCTTGCAGTTGCTTTAAACGTGCGTCGACACATTCTGCAGGGCTCACCTCATTGCAAACGACGGTGCCGCGAGAAAGAAAAACCATGTGAGAACTAGTTTCCTTCACTGGCTGGCTGCGAGTGAGTGAGGGAGTGAGCTTGCTCAGCAACCTCATGTTTCCTCGCTCATTGTGGCACTCCTCCGCTTTTACGTGCACATGCTGAGAGGCTCGCCGGATTGGAGCTTCTTGCAACACAGGATGCGGCGATGGCATACAAAACCAAGAGGTGGGCCTTAATTGGTCGAACTGCAGCAATCGATGGCACTGCAGCCTTCTCACATCCCGACATTTGTGCGTGCTGCAGGACACATCATGCGCTCCATCATGCTCGCGTACGCTACAACTGCCCGGCGCGAACATCAAGGCCTGCAGTCTAAGACTTGCATTCTTGAGGCATTCTCCAGCTGCAGGACAGCTGACAGCAGATGCAGCTGTCTTGTGCGGAGCCCTTTGTCGGTAGCGACTCGTCGTGCAGAGCTTCACTCTCCAATTCAATATCCGCCCCGCCATCCGAGTTGGCGACGTAGAAGACCCAGAGCCAGCGGTCTTGCCTGTCAGGAAGAAAATCGGGAGCTTCTACCAGCTTCAATACCTAAAACAGCACTTAGGTCGGGAGCTCAGCCTAATCAGTCTTTGCCAAGATGTGCCAAGACGAAGTTGGTTGCTAAGGATCAGTAGATATCTGTCGCCACTTCCTCTTACGCTTGATTGGTTTCTTCACTTCTGCAGTTACGGAAACTCTGTCTTTGAGACCGGAAACCCTCCTTCCACTCGCCTCCCTTCAGTGCTCTTAAGCTTTTTAACGTAGTGCCTTCTATGTCGACGAGCAATGAACTCATCACTGTGGAGCCGTTTACAAGGCGTTGCCTCAGCAAGCGCTGCGTGAAGCTCCGTAGAGGCCTGCGAGGCTTGCGAGGTGGACAAATCTTAGTCGGACGTGTGGGGAAATGTGCAGCCCAAATCTGTGCCTCTTTGTGGATGTCATTGCAGCAACTGAGGCAAGGACGCTTCAATGGCTTGACAAAGGGGCCTTTGAAGTCACGGAGTCACGGACACTTGACATCACAAAGCACACTAGAATGCGAACCTAATGTCGTCAGTAAAGTCTCGAAGCTCATAGCATACCAGGGAAGCATGACGAAGGCTCTGGGCCCCAAGGAGCACGCGCTGCGACTGCAGCAACTCGCTGCTCAGAACCCTGGCCAATGCACAACTTCGACTTACCAGCGCCTGCCACCGTGCCCGAAGGCTTTTAAACTCTTACAGACATTTTAATAGTGAAGCATTGATACTGGAGAGGCTAGCCGCTACTAGGTAGCTATAAATACCAGTTAAACAAGGTAAAGCATCAGTCGTGAACTGCGACATTGCCGGCTTGGTTGGCATGCAGGTTGCAGAGGGGCCTGCGGCAAATGCAGCCGCCGCGCCATCAGCCCGGTGACCTTAACCGCTCAGCAAAGAGATGTTGCGATGCAAACCCGTACATCATATTATCCATCTGTTCCTCGTGTGCTTCTCGCATGTTTCTTGTATGTTCCTCGTCCCCGACTTCACACCGAAACGGACCGCAACACTCAGGAGGGCACGTCGCGCAGCCACGGCTCCCAGTTTGCCTTGCCTCCCGCAAAACCCTTGCCTCCCGCACAACCCCGCACAGACGCCGCACATAGACACGTGGACTCAGATGCAAGTAGAGATAGAGTGAGAGGGCGCAAGAACCGGAGAGAGGAGGAAAGAGCGACAGACCAGAGGCAAAGCCTTCCGACCTGAATGGACGTACGGGACCGACAAGCAGTCGAGGGGGTGGCTCAGAGATCTATTTAGGGTTCTGGCACATGTCGTGCTGTGAAACTCTTAAACCCTGAAGAGCCCGAAAGTTTGAGTACGAAAAGGCGCCCTCTGCTAGCTAACGGTCCCGACAAAAATCGATGGCCCCAATTTGCAGCAATGCAACTTTGCATTGGGCTGTTTGTCAGGCCTGTGGCGGCAGTGCTGCCGTTCTCCAGATTCAGTGGCCCAGTACCTCACGGAAGAAGTTGGTTGTGCTGGCTTGGAACAGCTCGGACTCAAGTCCAAGCGTTCTAGCATGGCAGGCCTGTAGGGGCCTGGTAAATGATGGGTCGCGCATCCAGCTTCTTCTGGAAATTCCTGCCGTCTGCGATGTCTGTGTATGATACACGTCTCAAGCAAACATCAGCTTTCGGTCGACAGCAGTGGAAGAAGCCTCGAAACAGCCAACTTGCACACGGCACTGCTCTGTCGATCCCTGCACGTGAAGCCTGCAACGCTTCTCCAGGTAGTTGATGCGGTCCCAAAGCTGGGCCACCTCGGTGGCAATGCGAACATGACCAGAACCGTATTTTGTGAGTCAGACCTCAAAATCGACAAAGCCTTTGCGACACTGCTCACACTGCAGGCCCCCCTCTGCCCACCTCTTCATGGCCAGCGGTCTCCGGAGCTCCTGCGCCCTTGCTAGGCAGCCGGCCCGACCTTTGCAGACTCAAGCTTATGGTGAGTTTGCAAATCTCAGCAAGTCTTCAACCTCCCTGTCCGCCAGAAGTCCGATCAGTTGTCGATATCTTGCACTTGGACTTAGTCTTTCTGAGCTGCAGGCGCCAATGCTGAGCTGGACTCCAGCTGATCCAGCAAACTGTCCGTGACCTCGGGCGTTTTTGGGGAATGTCCCAGCGACATCACGAATCACGAAGAGGAAGCATACCTCAACCGATCACTGCCCTCGACTCGAACGATGTGACAGGAAGCTTCAGATGCTGGGCTTGGCGCATTGCCGACTACCTGCAGAACACGTCTATCTGGTCAACTAGGGATTCGGAGTATGTAAAACTGTTTAGACGACCTAAATACGCCAAGGCCCTCAGGCCGAAGGAGGAGGGCAATGCAACCGTCGCAAGTTCTTATGCTCTGTAGCCATGTCGTGCTTCTTAGCTTCCGTGGTACGGAACCTTTTTATCACCATGGCAAGCAGACAAGCACTTTGCTGTGTTTTTTCCCGCCAGCACCACGTTCCGCATTTCAGACCTATCGAACCAAGATATGGAGGAAAAGCCCAGGTGGCCTGGAGACAGGGCCTTCAAGGGAGCTTCTGGGGCAAGAGGGTGGGCAAGTAAACAGACTAGCTTCACTGGCAGCCACCTAGTCACAGTCTGGGGCGGGTCTGAAAGACCTTGATAAGCCCTGGAGATTGGGGGAACGAATCTTCAAGGGAGATTCTGGGAGCTCCTGGGGCGGAGGACGTAAGCAGACTAGCTTCGCTGGCACCTCGAGGTGCCAGCTTTTCAAGGTAAGAACGCCTGAAGAGTATCAGAGAGATAGTTGAGGTACCGCACCCCCACCCACCTAGGTGCATCCCCCGTAGCCGACGGGCCGGTGCGCTGGGGGCAGTGGACAGCCCCCGAACTGCCACTGAAAGGCCGGGGGCCCCCTGGGGATCCTTTTGGGACTTTCTTGACTCGCTGCTGACGTGTTCTTAGCAGGTTGGCCCTGCAGGGTCCAAAGCTTCCAGAACACGGCAAATTAGTGACGCCAGCTATGAACGCATAAGAGGCAGTGTTGGGCAAGTGGCTAGCAGCATTGCAGAGAGACGACTGAGGACGGGCGCTGGAAACCAAAACGATGACATGAAGTTGGCTCAGCCGGTCCTCGCATGTCCTAGGTCCAAGAATATCCGATCCCAACGTACACAGGCCTCCGGTTTCAAGGCAAGCTCCTGGTCTGCAGTCTCTGCAGGAGTTTCCGACGGTGAGATTGCCTGAACTGCAACAGTGCAACACTGGTGCAACAGTACGCAACGGCACATAACACAACTTTGTTAGCTGACCTGATGGGTCCTGGTGGAACACACCTAGCTTGAGAGATGTGTTTCATGAAACAGCACCAAGTATTCTTGGAGTGACATCAACTGACGCCCACCTTCTCATCAGTTTCATCGCCCTCTTCCTCAAGCAAGGCCTCGGTTAGTAAGCTCATACTTTCAGAATAATGAAAAAGTCGCCGGATGGCACTCCTGTTCCTTCAAGGCCTGGGGCAATCTTGGCTCGTGATGATTGAAACACTCTTGACGTCTGCTCTGGGGCTCGTTTGCTTCAAGATCGTCTTATGGCGGTTTGCGAAACACCCTTGTCGCAGGACCTCCCCCGCTGCTATAAACCCCTGCCACGACAGCGCAGTTTCACTAAATTACAAGCCGTTGTCGCGGAGAGGGGTTGTCGCAGAACCGACCCTTCTGTTCAAGCTTTTGTCGCGCCTGGGACCAGCAGAGCCTGTTACAAGCCCAGAGTATGTGCATGCTGCCATATTAAAGAATAATCATAATAATCATAATCATAATAATCATAATCATAATCATAATCATAATAATCATAAACAAATCATCTTCTGCCTTCCGCCGTGTTAGCCTGTGAGCCCGCGCACGCCACTCGCCAGCTGAGCTTTTGCGCTGCGGCGTTGAGGAGGACCTAAGCCATGCTCCGACAAAGCAAGTTGCATAAGCAACCCTAAACCATGATGATGTCAGGGTGGCCCAATGTCATCCAATGTCATGCTGGGCACGATGAGACAGGAATGTGTTCTCAACAGAAAGCAGGCTTGTGAGCTCGGATTCGCGCAGAGCTCGCTGGATAGTCGGAGTTGCATCTGACAACCTACACTTCACGCTTTCACGTATTCTCACGCGCTTTAGTATCACCATTATCTCTTTTGTCTTCGCTTGCGTTTTAGCTTGCATCGGTTATCACATGCGTCTGTGTTTAGGGTTGGGGTTAAGGTTCAGGATTTGGGGTTTAGGCTCAGGATCTAGGGTTTCGAGATTCGGGCTTGGGCGTTCTCAGGGCTTAGGGCTGGGTTTAGGGCCTAGCAGAGCTCAGGATTTCGGGCTTAGGGTTGGGGAGAGGTTAGGCGTCCACGGTATGGCTTTGGGGCTTAGTGTTCGCTTTGGTGGGCTGTGCTGGGGTTCTCAGGCCATGTCGCTTCACTTGAGTTCCTTCGGGGTTTCGTGACTCGCAAGCAAGACTCGGCATGACGACTTGGCTGGAGGGTCTCGGAGGACTGTTGTCCTTTACGGGTTTGCAGTTAAAATGTGCGCATGAAAAGACACATGTTAGACGAAAAGAAATACACAAGAATGAGATGAAGCAAACACCAACGAGTCCTGCGAACACACGTCCATTCTGATAGGCTTTATCGGTCTGTGGGGGGTCTAGCTGTGGACCTGCTGTCAGGTCCACTGATGGCAACTGTTGGGGCTGCCGTGTGCTACGGATAAGGCACCTGCATGGTGACACAGGTTGATACGCATCAACTTCTATTCCGGGTCCAAGCAGGAGAAGTGAGCCTAGCATGCGGTCCCATAGATCCCCTGACAAGGAGAGCACTGTCGGCGAAGATCTGACAACTCCACCTCGGCCTGGCACGGGGGTCAGCTAGACGCGAAGCAGACAGTTAGCAATCGCATACCAAGAACATAGAGGTTTCTGGCATATCTTCGCAGGGTCGAAGCCACTGGAGCAGCTTCTTTTTTCATGGTTCAGGGCGTAAGCAAGGTTTGGATGCCCATATTGGGCCTCTGCCCACTGGATTCAGCCTACGCAGACCTACTCAAAAATGAGCATGCAGTAAAAGTACTTCGCTGCCTTGACTGTTGTATAGGTGTTTGGCGAAATCTCAAACGCGATGATGTAAGGCAAGGTGCACGCTTTCGTTCAGGTTTTTAAGTACTCTGCCGCCTCTTCTGCTGACGATGCACGTGAGAAGATGGCAGCTAAAATGTCAAGAGTCGGCCCCCAATTTGCGCTGCCTTGGCCTTGATCTGCCTTGAGTGGTGGCTTCGTCCCCTGGACTCAGATCCCGGACCCAACCGTTTGCCTCAAGTCCAGGGGGGCCTCTCAGGGGTTTCTGCTGGGTTTACTTTTGCCATCCAGGGCCTTCTGGCTCTGCTCTGCCATGCTCTGCTGAAGCGCCCGAATCAGCTGCTTGTGACCTCAGTCGAAGAAACTTACAGATATGTCGCGCAGATACTAGTACTGCATGAAATCCAGCTGTGCTACGCTGCCTTCAACATCCAGCTGAGATCGCTGAACAATCATCGCAGGGTGGGAGGGATGGGAACAAAACAACTGCAGGCCCCTGCAAGAAACAGCCGCAACCCGCCCAATGGCACTCGCCCAATGCACAACGTACTAGCCAGAACTGCTGCAATAGCTCATGACCAAGTCAAACATGCCAGTGGCAACACCAAGACAAGGACGCTCGACTCTCACAGATCCCATATATATATATATATTTTGTAGTTAATTTATTTATTTATATTTATATTTATATTTATATTTATATTTATATTTATATTTTTCTATACACATACATATATATATATATGTGTATATATATATATATTATGCCCTAACGTGCACCCCGCACGACCGGATTTAAAGGTAAACTGAGCTCCGCGGCTTTCGCAGCTTGCTGTGGCCTCGGCTGCCTTCTGAGACAGCTGCTGGCGAGCCTGCCAAGTGAAATTTCGTAGCATGAGCACTGAACTCACTGAACCCAAATGCATCTCCAGCAGCCGGCTGAAATTCTTTGCTCCAAGCTGTTTCCGTTGATGCATCAGCGAAGGCTCTTCCTTTTTTTTTTTGTTCTTGCTCAGCGGCTAAGCCCTTGCGGACAGGTGCGAGGGTCACGCGGCGGTCACGGACTACTCCTATATCGAAGGGGAGGGGCCTGTGCACCACGCGGGATCGTGTGAGATCACTCTAAGGAGGAGGCTGTACAGAAACGAAGCGAGGTCACTCACCGAACGCGACTTTGGTGACGCACGTGCGGTTGGCGTCCTCCCTCTTCCAATCTTCAAGAGACATGCCGATGGCCTCGTCGAGCAGCTTGTTGACATCGCTCAGTGCTCTAGTGTCGTACCACTCGATCGCAAAACTCTTGAACTGCGGGCAGAACTCGGTGAGGAGGAGGTGGGTCCTTTCTTCAACCCGCCGCGCCAGCCAATCCTGGGTGAAGACGAGCAAGCGCATGAGCTGGACGATGGCATAGTTGTGGTTGATGGCGGCGCGGGCGTACTGAACGGTCCTTGCCTTGATGCGCGCGTACTTACACACGCCTAATTTAAGCACGCTGCTTGTGTTGTCTTCACTGCGTGCCCAGAGGACGTGCACGCAGGCCGCCCATCCTTGGCAAAGGTGGTTCAAGAGCTTCGAACTGAAGTAGGCCAAGCCGAAGGCTGTGGGCTCATGGTACAAAGTGAACAAGAGCTTGCGGAGCCGGTCCAAGACCTGTGCGAAGTTGCCCCCTCTGGATACCTTGTCCATGTCCTTCTGCTGGAGATGCTTCGGAGGTGGAAGGAGGGAATGCACGTAGTAGCTCAGCAAGCCTCAGGATGGGTTTCAGGATCATCGATCGGGGAGGTGCGTCGGTTCGGTTCAGTTCGGTTCAGAGGGGGATTTCAGGGGGGAGATCACCGAAAACGGAGAGGGAAAGTGGGCGCGCGCGCGCGGCCAAGCAGCCGCTGACCACCTTCAGTGAGCACAGGCAGGGCTTTTACTGGCTGGGACAGCTCCGGGAGCTTTCGCGATCAGCGACCACCCCGAGCGACCACCCCCTGCCCTCCCCCCGCGATCAGCGACCACCCCCCACGATCAGCGATCAGCGACCACCCCCTTCCCCCCCCCCCGCGATCAGCGACCACCCCCCCCGATCAGCGACCCGCGATCAGCGACCACCCTCCCCCCGCGATCAGCGATCAGCGACCACCCTCCCCCACCCCTCTTCACTTCTTGCGAGCACTCTGCTGACGAGCCCGAGACAACCCTAAGTTGGAGCTTAAGGGATTGGAAGGTGGTTGTTGAGGGATGCAGGGACACGGCGAGCCTTCTCCAGGAGCTCTTGAGCATTCTGCGGAGGCCGAGGCCATGCAGAGAGCACCCGCTCTAGCCACTCACGTCGTACTCCACTCTCGACGGGCCGGCCCTTCTTTGATGGCTTCGGCATCGTGGAGGACAACCTCGTGACGATCGGCGTGATCGTGGCCTCGACCCTCTCCCGGATGTCCGCAGGGATCCTTGTCAACATGAGTGAGCGAGCACCGTATAGGTCCCAGCCGCACGGGGTCCTATTGCGGGGCAGCTTACTGGGCACGACCGCCGAGAAGCGGCAGTACACGAGCTGAAAGAGAAAGAGCAGGGGCGCGATGGCCCCCTCGACCCAGGTCCACGAGTGCACTTCGCCTAAGTCATCGCCAGTGGGTCCCATTTCAGGAGTCGACTCCTCCCGTGCCCCAGCCTCAGCCTCGGCGTCTCCATCGTCCTCCCACTCGCCCAGTGGCCCAACCATGAAGCTCATGCAGGGTCGAGGCGGAGATCGGCTCGACCACTTCCGCCTCTGCAGGGCGGGCAGCTTCCGCCTCTGCAGGGCCGGCAGAGCTTGACGAAAGCCGTCCACGCTTCTTCGGCGGCTCTGTCCTCTGCGCCTGCTGCTTGGGGATCCTAACGAAGGCTTTCTGAGGCACACGGACTTCTGCAGCTGCCGGAGGCCTCTTTGCAGGAGGCTGCTTGGTGGCAGGCTTCGCTGCAGTAGGCTGCGCTGCAGTAAGCTGCGGCGCTGAGCCCATGCGGTCCAGCATAGCGGCCATCAACGTCATGGCTTGCTGCTGTCCAGCTTGCGCCTTCGCGATCATGCGAAGCTCCAAAGCCCGTGCAGGGCCTACCTCTGTCTCAACGGCACTGAGCAGGTTCTGCGTTGAGGCTCCCAGGCCATCTGTGTCCGTTCCCATCGACGACAGCCGCTGCTGTGCATCCTGCAACTGCTCACTCAGCTCTCGGCATCTTCCTTCCAATTCTTCCTTGCTGCTGGTGCGCACATCCCCATGCGCGGGCAGCGTTTCAAGCTCGGACTCGTCCTGAGACGTTTGCTCTTCATGACGAGCTGCTGGCGGACGGAAAGCACTTCGAGCGTTTGCGGGCATCATGGCACTCGGGTATGCTACAGGCTAGCTGCGGGTCTGCGGTCCTACGGTGTTTTTTCACACAGAGAGCTCGGGGCGCTCGGAAATGGCTCGCAGAATCGCACAATGTCTTTGGCGGAAACAGAATCATTTCGGAGCATAAGCCTCCATCAGGACGAAGCAACAGGAAAAACACATCGCTGCCTCTTTGAGCTCGGCCAGCTCTGACGACCACCTGGACGACTTAGACTTGAACATGATCCGATGTGGAACGTGAGAACTGAACATATGATTACTCGTTCACACATTGCTGCTAAACACTCTTAGAACTGTGACGCTGTATATCCACCATATTCTACAATGCAAATTCCAGACATTTGGACTCGGTGGGTCCAACTTGGGTGCCCCGGCGAGGCGCTTCGAGCTTCGGAGGCCTCCAAGTGAGAACGCACTTCGGAGGCCTCGGAATGGAACTTTTCAAAATTATCTTCGGAGAAGGGAGAGCTGGGCTTCAGAATTGGTCAAGCCGCGATAGAAGTGGACAGCAACTGGACCCGGCATGCGCACGACGATGCCCACGCCTCTAAGTGGAGTCTTTGGGCAAGTCCTTCAGCTTCCTCCGCCTTGCGACAGCATGTTTTTCTTTTTTAGCATACGCATTCGCTACTTTGGTGTGGAGGGTTGTTCCTTCGCTGTCAATTCGTGTTCAGCCTTCAGCACATTTGCCCTTGAGCGCCCCTGTGCCAGAGCCGTGCGAGGGATTCAAAAGCACAGCCGAACTAAGCTGGCATGCAATGGCCTTCCACTACAGCTACAAAGCGATGCCCTTTAAGATCAAAACTCGACTTCCCAGAGTAGTCGGGAATGAACTGGGGCCTTCTGTGAAGACTCTTCCGCTTTGCGCTGGGCTGCAAGTAGCTCGTCACGGTGCTCAACCTGGAGAGGTCGGCAAAGCCTGTTTCTTGAAACCTCGCATTTCCGAGCTTATTGTCTCCGAGCCTCGCTGTTGACGCTTCCGCGACGGCACTGGCGTAGTTCGTCCTCTGGTTGAGTTGGACTTGCCATGAGGAGAGTTCAGATGCTTCTGGCCCATGAAAACTTGAGGACCCTTCATAGCATGTCATGGCGCTGCAGGGTAGTTCATCGGTTAAGCAATATGGCAGCCGCGACAATTGCTCATGTTGGCAGGCATGAGCCTATGCCTCCTTATAAGCAAGCTACACACACAAAGCCGTTGCAACATCTGGCCTGCAAAGATCGAACTCGCTGTTCTAAGTTGGACGTAGCTTCCTGCCACTCCTGCGACAGGTGTGGGAGTGGCGGATGCCTTGCACATCACTTGGTAGGGATCTGCCACTGGCATCAAGCTGCGATTGCTACTATGCTTCACCAACCTCATTGGATATGCAATGATACAGTGCAAGGACAAACATGCACCGCAAACTGTTATCTGCCACTTGCCCCGCTTGCTCCACTTGCTTTGGTTCCGGAAGCGGAAGACGATATGTGCCACTTGCCCCACTTGCCCCTCCATGTGCACCGAAAGCGATTTCTGCCACTTGCCTCGCTTGCCCCACTTGCCCCCTTGCCTCACTTGCTCCGCTTGCCAAGCTTGCCAAGCTTGCCCCACTTGCCCTACCCCCAGCCACAAGTCTGCCTCAAAGACAGCTCAGTTTAAGGCAGACCTGTGGGGCAAAATCAAGTAGCTTTTCTGGCTGAGCAAGTGGGGCAAGTGAGGTAACTTCTAGAAAAGAAAATGACAAGTGGGGCATCAGCTCTTCCAGAAAAGTAAGTGGGGGTTAGGCAACATCAACTAGTGGTTGCTGTGGGCGCTCGAGATGCCATGACAGTCGGAGAGATCTTACAGGATCAGACCGTTCATCTCAGAAAGGGCATGGCAATGGTATGGCAAAGTAGTATGCCTTGACTCATTTTCTTGCGTGAGCACTGGCGAGCCCTGGCGAGCTACAGCGAACAATCGCCAGATAAGCTGAAGTTCGATCATTGCTTCAGCTGGAGCATGCTGTACCTGCCATGGCTGTATAAGGCAAGCCTCTGCTTCGGTGGCACTTACTGTAAATCATGCTGCTATCACAGTCTGCGTTCTGAAATCGGCAGGAAGCTGTGCCAAGCCCACAGAAACAGAAGAGGCTGCGTGCACGTTCTGAGGCCGCGTCACTGTGAATGAACCGATGTTACCCAGGGTAGCCAGTAGCATCACGGATCCCCAAACCTGAGATGTCAGAATGATGTCATCAACATGCGGAACAGGCTCAGCAAAAGCCCTGCTTAGGCTCTTCAAACTGCATCGCGAACCAGACCTGTCCTAGAGACCCCTTCCGGCAGTTCCTCCAGGCCGACAGCCAAAGAAATGACGATGGCAGTTGCCTGATGCAGTGTGATGCAAGGATGTGGCTCAAGAGGCTTGTTTCATGGTGCCCCAACTAATCTTAAACTGTCTTAAACTGTGCCTTGTTGAAGTTGCCGGCGAAAGTTGTGTAGGTAGCCTTGGAATAATTACAAGCAGCTGTACCATGGCCAAATGCGTCGCACATCGATTGACTGGCTTTGACCGAAACTATACTAAACAACTAATGCATGTAAGAACCGTGAGAGACTGGACCATAGCGTACTGCGTCACATTGTACGCAGAGGCAAAGACACCCAGGAGTAGCCTAAGATTCAGAGCTTGGACGACTGGCCATGTGACATCCGCAGGTTCTCCAGAGGCTTTCCGTCGCACTCAGGGGCATAGGGTTTAGGGTTTAGGGTTTAGGGAGTTACCATGAGCTGCCCCTTTTTTGACAGGCTCTTGCTCTGCTCAGCGACCCCAAACCGAGCACACCCGGGGCCAGCTCGAAGACCTTGCAATGAACCTGAGGAGTCTTGAAAAAAAAGGTCCCCCAAGAGTTAGGGCTGAGCTGAGCTGAACGGAATGAATCCGCTTACAGGCACCCTGGGAGAACTCCTGGTCATGTAATGTCATGTTCCCGGACCGACTGTAGAGTAAACTGTCGACATTGCAAGAAGGCACCCTGATGATCCCTGATGTACACGCAAGCGCAGCAGTGGGCAACTACCAATTCTTTCACGTCGGCATTGTTCATTAGGCATGACAGCATCAAAGGCAATCACATCAACCAACACAAACTTCTAATTACGCTTGATCACTTGATCTCTTCGTGCCTCGAAATCCGTCATAGACGGCTGTCCCGGCCAGCTGGGATGGGACATAGTGAAGCTGGGCACCAACCTGCACATAATGTAACCAAACAGACCGTGCACACCACGGCACCTGTTTATACACATGTTGCTTTGGGCTAGCCCTTGTGCACTCAGCCGAGCAGCAACATTAAAGCCGAAGGTAGCCCCATGTAGAAGGTCATGTCCTCAGAGACTTTCGATTCTCAGCTTGCCTCATTCCAATCACCACCTGGTTGCGGCCAGGCCTCCGTAGAATTCAGCTGCATGGACGTGCCTAGCTCACAGGCCAGGACCATGTTCAGTGCTCCAGCAAAGATGGAGATAACGCACACGAGGACCTGGGCTCAGAGTATGACTTGCCAGCACAACACGCTTGAGATTGACCCATAGTGACATAGTTAAATGTCACCCGGTAAAACTGCCAAGACAAAGCCGTGCCACAGTGCAACAACGAAGGGACCGACTCTTTACCGAGTGTTGACCGTTCTTTGCCTTCTGTTGCACCCAGCACATGAATACCCTTAGCCCTGATTTCTAAGATTCGTTCCGATCCAAGCCAGGCCTCTCATCTCCTTTCTCGAGCTTTGCATCTCTACGGTTTGATCTCTTCGTCACTTCGTCCCGATACATTCCCGGAGATCACCCTTGTTACTGGCAAAGATGTACTTGCTGCAGAACAACCTAGACTTGCGGTTGTATGCAACTCAATCTTTACTACAAAAGTAGTTCAGCCTGAACCCCAACGCGGCCATGAAACTACAAGTCTTGCTGGCTACAAGGCTGTTGAGTCACATGAAGTCACAAATGCCTCTCTGGTTAGCAGAGGTCCAGACACCGATAAGAATCGTGTCCGAGCTCTGCGTTTTGCCCTTCTGTGCCTTACAAGGGTGTGTGAAAACTGATGCTGCTCAATGTGCACATCATCTCATGACTCGTTGTGTCATGTTGTCTTGAGCCTGCGATTGCGCCACTGTTGCCAGAGCTGCGCACGCAACCCCAGCCAGCATGCAAAGAATCTCCTTCGCTGACCGCAGACTCAGAGTATAACGGTGCATGCGCATGCGACGCTTAGCCATAATCTGTTGGGTGAATGCCAAGACAATCCTAAAGTGCACTCGTCACCGGCACTTTGCAAACAATGCTCCTGGGAGTGACGAGCATGACCTGCAAACGTGAGGTTGGACTGTTAATTTTCCTGATAAGCTTATTCAGCAATCTGTTGGCAAACATCTTCTCAGTCCTGGCCTTTTGCAGCGATTTTGCCCGGATGTGCAAGCACTTGCACTACAGCAGTGGCAATGGGGAGGCACGATCGAATGATCAAATTCATAGACAGCGGCAGGAACCTGCAGATCACAGACACAAATTTTCGATGAGTCCATTCGTTGCTGAGCACATTTAAAGGAGTTGCCAGCACGCGTTTCCTGTTAGTACGGTGCTTGAGACTTGCTGACGGAAACTGAGATGCCGACTGAAAGCTGAAGTTGTTGAGCCCTTAGCTATCAGATCAGATGCCTGCGGGCCTTGCTTCGCAAACACCATCAACATGCTCGGCAGTGGCAACTTTGGCCTAGCGTCCAATGTTCGCAGCGAAAGCTGCAGAGAATAGCAGTATCCTGTAAACGTCACTCAGCTTGGTCAGCGGCTTTGGCCGGTATGGCCTTGCAGAGCAAACTTGTGATGCGAGCTCATGCGCATGCGGTTGGCGATCGCGCGACGATGCCATCATATGCCATATGTTGCCATTCACGTCTCAAAAAGAGCCCCGATTCCTGAACCCTGAACGTGCCAGAAACTGAGACAAGTGTCCAAGGCGTAGCCCAGGAGATCACGAAGGCAGATCCAAAGAGCACAAAGCAAGTTACTTGGTGCAAGGCCTCGGCGACACTGAGAAAGCGGCCCTTGCATGTGCCCAACTCCCTGCACACCTCTCTGCTGCTCCCTTGCAGCCCGTTGTCCTATTGCCAAATGGTTCTCAAAGGCCACGCATTCCCAACTCGACTCCGCTTGAGCACGCTTTAGGGCTTGAGGGTCGTATAGTGTTCCCGGGGCCTTCATTCAGGGCACACCCGAAGCTCGGAATCCCAAACCAAACCACAGTGGTTCTGCACATAGGAGAAGCGAAAAAGGCTGCAGCTGTACGAGCAGAGGCACTGTCAAAAGGAAAGCCCCAGGCAGGCCCCGCAGCCCGAGTTCTTCAGACACGACAGCGCTGGATATCACGACCTTCGCGAAGAGGAGCATGCCTCAAGCACAACATTTCAAAGCTCGGGAACAAGAAGTTAAACGGATGCTAGTCTTCTCAGGAATGCTCGCTTCATGGCGATAAAATTCTGTTGTGGGACCTGTTTCACCAGAAAGACTCGCTCTGCATCTAGTGATGTAGAAAAGATGCGAGTGGTGATGTGGGCAAGCCGACCTGAACATGCCCGAACAAACCATTGAACCCCACACACCCCAAAACCAGCCTTCCTGAATCCGGCATGAAAGCATGCACAACCTATGCGCTGTTTACAGGCTCAGAGGCCCTGTACTGTATTGTCTGCATAGGCTGTTCAAGGCTGTGGCTCCAAACGGCACACCTCAGAGTCAATCTAACCTGCAGACGCCCATACCCTGAAAAACCTTAACATCGCCATGGCCCAGCCTGTCTGAGCACCGAAGTAAATCGCGAGCTGTGCCGGTGTCCGCAGCGAGTCTATCTGACGGCCTTGGCAGAACCCGATCAGCCTCGACCGAAAGGATGCAGGGTGACAAGTCGCGCTAAGCCATCGGCATGGAATACCAATGCACAGAGCAGCCAGCGGGATGCAGACCTGTGAAGACAAACCTTCACCCATGGTCTACCAGCCCTCTAAACATCATGAGCTCTGCATCGCCATCTTGTGCATTCAGCAGTTTATCAAGGCAATCATGTTACAGGCCACAATGCGGCCACACGTCCCACTGCTACTGACAGATGCAATAGCACGGCCTCCTTAAAGAGCCTGTAGGACGCCTCGGTGCAACGAGCGGTCTCTATGCCAAGTCGTTCGGCTGTAAGCATTTACAACAGGAACGGGAACATCATCTGCAACGAACATCACACGTGTCAATTTTTTGCGTGCTTGGCTGTTGTAACATCTTCGCAGCCCAGCAGCAGATGAGGCCGGCGAGCTGGCAGGAACGTGTGCCTCACTCCTGTCTGCACAAAGAGACAAAAGGGCTCATATCTATGACTTGAAGCTTGCATGCTGCGCGGATGACGATGATGCGAATGCTCAAACATGCTCAACACTTGCAGCACTTGCATGGAAAGCAAGTCTTTGGAGTCCTTGTCTTGTCAAAAAGGACTGCCAGAGCGACCTGAGTGTCGGGCATAGCTCTAGGGTTTAGGGTTTAGGGTTTAGGGTTTAGGGTTTAGGGTTTAGGGCTTTGGGTTTTGGGTCCGCATTCTGAGCCAGGTGGTACAACTTGATAGGCGCAACTTTGAGGCACAACCTCTGCCGAGGCCAAAAGGCCGGCGCTCCTAACATCCAACATCCTTGTGTGCCCTGACTGTGTGGTATTCTTTCTGACTGTGCACCATCGTCCTCTCACTTCGCTTCGAGGCGACAGTACTGCAACGACCAGGCAATGACCAGCTAATTGAGCAGCTTGGCATTCTGCACAGCCTCCTCGCGGCGCATCTTGCTTTACTACTTTACTTTCTTTCGGAGGGCTTGAGTCCTCCACCTCTGCTGAGAACCTCCCCGGTAGACTCTTGTCAGACTCTCTCTTCCTGCGCTTCTTTCTTTCTTCCTTCCTGCGCACGCAACCCTCCCAGGTGGGCGGGGCCGCCCGAAGGCGTGCGGCTGCCGAGTCCGAGATGACACTACCTCCGCGCACCGTCGAGCATGCCGGGAACCTCAGGCCGCCCCATGAGGCATCCGAGGAGGCCACTGCAGCCGCCAGAACTGCATTCCTCGGCAGCCTTCGTCCCACGCCTGGCTGCGATACTCATGGATACTGCAAGCGGGCGTTCCCACCAGAATGCTGCGCATGCTGGCAAAATTCGTTCGACTGCTTGCCTTACGATGGGAAGCGGTAACCTTCGACAAGCCTAGGCCCTTGCCTGATGTGTCTGACACGACTCAGACTATGCCCAGAAACAGCCATGCAACGCACAAGTCTGTGCAGGTAAGTACTGCATGTACTCGTGGTTTCACTTGCCAGCTGTCAGTTGCAGCCAACTTACAGCTGGCAATTGAAACCTTACGTGGACCACAGGAATATTTCAGGAAACAGGCCGTGTATCTGCAGAAGCTCTACGAGAGCCCATCATCCTGCCCTTCACGCAGCTACACTCGCCGAACAAGCCCTGCAGAGTCAACCCTGTATCAACTGTTACAGGCAGGAGGTTCGTTGGGTCGGCCAGCGTGGGCTCCTTGCCACGTGCAGAATGGTAGACACCTGCCAGAGAAAAAATCGATGTACCTACTGTCAACTTTTATTTCCGGATCAAAGCCACCAGACTTGTGAATCAGCAACCTCGCGTGGCATAAGCAGCTCACAAACACGCAACCTCAGCTCTCAAGTGGCACGCAGAGCTGCTTGCTAGGAGGCTAGGAGGCAGGGAGAACACTGGGAGACAACAGCCCCAAGCCTTCGACGAAAGCACCATCAGCTCAAGCACTAATGGAAGCTGCAACTCCGAGCTCCATCCACATGCTGGATGGTGCTACGGATGATGTTGAATAGCGTCCTATGTCAATGTACCAGAGGTTGTCAAAGGATTTCATCAGTAGGGCAGCATCCATGAATGCATGAAAATGCACGAAAACTTCCAGACGGATTGTCGGTGGGCAGATGGCAACTGAAAATGTCAACCTTCTGCCAAAGGCCGGACCAGTGCTCTTGTACGTATATGGTTGTTGTGCGACCCAGCATCAGTCGAGCCCCTTGTGGCTGCGAAAGTCTTGGCCAATTTTCAGCAAACAAATTGAGACCCTGCATGCTTGCACATGGAGCGGGAACGTTGGCTGTCGGCTTGAGATCAGGCTGCACACCGTGCAAGCTGGCCTGCTCCTTCTTCTGGCTGCTGCTGGAAAGATCTTCACACCTCGCCTGCAGCATTAACATCGCCCTGCACAGACAAGGGTAATTAAATGGCAGCGAGCTTGCACGGCCTGGGCCATGCATTGCATGCCGCCATGATGGGAAATGCAATTTTTGCATGCAGCAACAGCCCAGACACGAGGCTTGGTAAGTTGCAGGAACTGCTGAACGGCTGTACTTGTGCCACTGCTCACTGCTCTACCAAGCGGCCTGTGCTGCCTGGGCTTCCTGGGCCTTCACCATCTCTGAAGCTCTGGCTTCCTACCATGGGAGCCGTCTTGGCCCAGGCTCAGTACATTCATTGCGTTGACATCGACACAAGGCATGGCCTCCAAGTCCGCCCGAAGCATCTCCACCTGCTCCTGCGAAGGAAGAGCTCTTGGGTGTGCAGACCTATACTCGTGGCATTTTCAGGAAAAAACAAAATCGCCACAATGCACCAACTTTCAGGGTCCGTATTCAACACCATGGAAACCTTAAGAGTTGGCCTGCAAACTTCATGCAACTTCCCACCAACACACTATGTCTGGCCGTCTTGGTGGAAAAGGCACGTTCAGCATGCGCAACACGCGCAGCAAGCAAGGGCGGCTTCGACCGGCATCTGGTGGAGAGAATTCTCAGCCTCATTTTGTCAGCTTTAGTAACTTCAGTGTCCCACTTTCTGAAGTGGCACACGAGCCATTTTTTTGAATCCTCCATGCAAGGCTTGGCGAATCCCTGCCACTCCGGCAAGCATCTCTCCATGGGAATGGTCCGACTCAGAAGGCGCTCTAAAAACCTTGAACCCCGTGGTGCCTTCAATCTTGCTGTGTTAACATGCGTGTGCAATGTGATTACATACATATCATTTGGAAATTCGAGCCGGCTCGAACCCGAAACATAGAATTTAGGAATCCATGGCTGTCGGGCTTCATGAATGCTAAATCTTAGGTTGCTAAGAAAATTCGACGCCGCTCAGGACGGAGGCTTTGCAAAATTCGAGCCGGCTCGACTTTTCCAACCGAAAGCTAAATGATGGCATCTGTGTGGCGTGGGGGGAGTGCAGAGATTCCCGAATTTAGGCGGCTTCTTCTTGGAGCTTACGCCGGCCCGAGTTTTGCGTGAATTGGTGCTTCGGAAAGTTTAGAAAACTCGATCCCGGCAGTGTTTTACAAGCATGGATCGAAAAGACTTGAAAACCCGATACTTTTCTCCGGCGGGCTCGGTTCTCCCTGCCATTCTTGCGCCGAATACGTAGTTTTTGTTGACCACTGGCTCACAGCCCAGAGGTGGCTCTATAGATCACGTGGGGAAGGGGGTGCATCAGCATATGGAAATTAGCAAAAACCATGTATACACATACACATATATATATATAATGTAGTATAAGTTTTAATCTCAACAAACATAATGACATAAAAGGTATAGATATGCAGTATAGAGCGTGTAGCATACCTGCATCTGCAGTACACGTTGCTCTTGCGAGTGCGAAACGCTGCGGGCCTGCAAACTTCGGACTCGGCTCTCCAGCAGGGCCTGAGCAACCTGGAGCGAAGCTCGAAGAGCCGACAGCTCAATGCCTTGAGTCACTTAGGGTTTAGGGTTTAGGGTTTAGGGTTTAGGGGTCTTCACTCAGCTAATATCCGCTAGTGACATTTCCCATACTCGGTTAAAGTGTTGGGTGCCTCCACGCGGTCGTCCCGCTGAGTGGCGCTGCTCAGCAACTCCTCGAGGCTAGCGGCCCAGGGTCAGCGTGGCTCTGAGTTGAAGTCCGCTGTGAATTGTTTTTGGCTTCGTTTGGTTGCTGGCTTCCAGACTAGCACCGTTCTGTGAAACCAAACAGCTCGCAGCTCAACAATAGCGTGAACATGCGTGAGCACCCAGACTCTCTGAGATGTTATTGGTTTGTCATGGGAGCTCCTGGCACTCCGCATGGGCTTGCTCCACTTCCTTGCAGACTTTCTTGCAGCAGGATGCAACAAAGATGTGTGCGGATGAAAACTGTGTCTGCACCTCCTGCTTGACCCAACAAACACAAGATGCATTTTGCAATTGGCACATGGCTCGCGAGGTAGAGATCCCCGGAAGGATCAGGTCAATTATTGCCAGGGAAAGAGAACTCTTTGAACAGTTGTCAAGACAATCTAAGCTGCTTCAACCTCAGGACGCTGGAGGGCCGAAACCGAATTCTAGCCATAAACTTGCCCTTCATCTCCCTCCTGAAATTTAAAACAAGAAAACAAACTGGTTGGAGTGTGTCGAATGTCTTTCCCTGATTGTAGTTTTTCTGTTTTCTGCCCCATTCCTGAGTTGTTCCGGCTCAGTTACCTGCGCCGCCTATCGGATCTTCTGGGAGTAACCTTTGGTGATTCCCGTAGAACGTACCCGGCGTTCATTTGTAATCCGGCTGCTCCCAGCAAATGCGGCGGTAGAGTTGATGGCGATAGCCGGCGTGCAGCATCACCAGCATCACTCAAGTTCACCGAAGCTAGCTAGCAGTCCGAAGCTAGCTAGCAGACATTTCTAGCATTAAGCCTTAAGCATATATATATATATATATGATATGATATGATATTATATTATATTATACTTATTTATATTAATTTATTTATTTACACATATTTTTGTACATATGCAAGCACTAGACATCCAGGCATGGCCCTGGCAAGGACTTTGTTGTGAAGCTTTGTCTGTTGCTGCTTTGTCGCAAGACCATCTACAACTCTACAGGCTCTATAGTAGAATAAGCCTCCTTTGGTGTGGTATTTTGATGGTGTGCAATGCACTGCGATGCAGCCCAGTGGCCCGCTCCGCCCGGCGGCCGCGCTCGTTTGCCGCACGCAGCTCCTGGCGGCTGCGACCTAGGACTCGGACAGCACTGCGATGTGCTGCCTGTGAAACACTTTTGCAGTTTCAAGAAGTTGTGGAGAGAGCGGTTAACTTGGCATGCGATTCCAAGGGTGTGAACGGTTGATCCACAGTCTCAGCCTCAATCTGTTAACCACTGATGCACCATTAACAGCGGTTCACATGTCATCCTTTGCATCACGAGGGTCATTAAGGTTTCTCCCTGGCGGTTAACTCACTCCTTTGTCTGGTGTCTTTTCGGCGGTAGCACGTGATGCATTAGATGACAGGTCTTTTCCCTTCATGAGGGAGCTCTCCTAACTTTCAGACAGGATTTTGGGCGTTTACACGGTTAACCTGGCATGCGATTCCAAGGGTGTGATGATACGGGCTGTAAGGTGCGGTGATTAGGTCCAGGATTCGAGCGGTCGAACTCAAGCCTTTGGTAACAGCCCGGTTTAGGGTTTAGGGTTTAGGGTTTAGGGTTTAGGGTTTAGGGTTTAGGGTTTAGGGTTTAGGGAGCCTGGTGATGATTCAAAGACCCGTCTAAAAGGCTTGGAAACAGAGGTTGTGTCTCAAGGTGTGACAGGGAGAGAGCGGTTAACCTTTACTTTTCCTTTACTAGCGAGCACCAGGACAAGGAGAACGAAGAACCCAACCTGGCTGCTACTTTCTAGCCCCGGCTAATGGTACTCTAATGGTAGTAACCTGGTGAACGAGAACTCCTATTAAAATATAAAGAACAAGGGAACGAAGTGAGTGCGTGATGCATGATTTTAATGTGAGTTCGCGCGTGTCTTTATTATTCTCTTCTTTCACGCGCTATCACTATTATCATATTCTAACGGGCCCTATTAATATTATTGGCCCGTAGATTTATTCTTCACTTCGTTCTCACGTTATTTGATACTGCGTGCTGCGTGCTTCACTCTGTTCATTACCAGTATTAATCGTGTGTTCTCAACATTGAAGCAAGATGAAGCGATGCCACTTAGGGTTCGTGAACAACACGGCTGGAAGGGAAGGGCATGAAGCAACGTGCTTTTGTTGTCTTCAAGAGGCAGCAAAAGCACAGGACGTGACATCATCACCTTGTCCGGGTGCCTGGCTCAGGCCGGCCTCCAGCCTCACATCCACACGCTTAGGCTTTCCTATTGTTAGCTACTGATCATTTGACGGAGAACCCATGAGAACCCCATTGCGAACCATGGCCAGACAGCCCGACATGACGCATTGCCAATTGCAGTCTCAAGTGGAGTGGGGAGTAAAGAGTGCCCGCAAGCAGTGATGCACCGATGCGCCGCTGGTAAACCTGTGAGGTGTATAATTGCGCTACACGCGCCGTGCATGCCTTGCCCTGTTGGGTTCTGCTGTGGTGCCTCTGAGCCTTCTGATGCATTTGCTGAACTCCCCAACCAGGAGACTCTCTGCAACTCAAAATCACTTCAGCCTTCGAAGCCCTGGGCCATGAACCCGAAGCGCAGGAGGAGCACTGGAATCAAGTTTTTCCAAACTTTGGGATCGTAAGTTTCCCCTCCCTTACTACTACGACCACTACTACTACTACTACTACTACTACTACTACTACTACTACTACTACTACTACTACTGCTACTACTACTACTACTACTACTACTACTACTACTACTACTACTACCACCACCACGACCCCGACCACTGTTCCTAGAATACTTGATGCTGAGAGTGGATACCGTGACACGACCGAAATTTGGTTCTTTTCTTGCGTGCCTTGTCGCATCGACTGAAACTCCGACGCACATCTGGCATGCGAAACTCCTGGAAACATCTTGAAACCGACGCACATGACATGCGAGACACTGACAAAACTCCGTCGCCACCTACGCTTCGCTGCATCGGTCTGGTGGTGCGTGTGGGCCGCCGTGGTGGTGCGCCGGGTTGGGGCGTTGAGAACAGTATCGTTTTGGCTTGCCGGCCCTCGTAAGAGGTGGTTAAAAATAGGGAAAACCCTCATCAGCAGCCATTTTTTTGAACACGTCACAGGGATTCGACTCCTGAAAAACTACATGGGCCGTGTAGTATTGCGCTAAGACTCGAGTGTTCGTCACATTCGACATGCAACGCCCTAACACCAGCCGGCAAGATGACGGGGTCATCGAGGCACGGCTACCTTTGTGCCACTCCCTAAACCCCTAAACCCTAAACCCTAAACCCTAAACCCTAAACCCTAAACCCTAAACCCTCTGTCATGACCAAGGTGCTCTGTGTGTCGCTCTTCGGCTCTTAGACCCTCGGCTTCCATTGCGGCCTCTGCAGCGCCCAGGCGCTCCCTCAGGGCTGAATTCTGAACATGTCCTCAACTTTGCCACTACGCTTAGCGATCTTCTGCGGTTCGTAGACTTAAGTTGAATTTATGCTCCAAACGTCTGGCCTGAGCTGTGCTGCTTCGGCGGAGCTTTCACGCACCAGCTCCGAGAGCATCTTCGCAGGGGAGGGGCTGCATGATAGCATCAGAATACGAATATAACAAGAGACGTCAAATGAGGATGATGGATGGGTCTGAGATACTCTGAGATTTGCTTCGCGAGTTTCACCAGGCGTCGCCTCCTTTTGCTGGGCAGTTTCGCTGTGGAGTTCCTTCAGCTCCATGGAGGCCTACAGGAACAAAAGCTTGCCGCATGGCTTGCAGCGCTATGCAGTAGCCGGCGCCTCTTCCAGCTGACGCTGACGCAATGTTTCGGCATCCTGCAGGGTCTGAAATTTTCTGATACTCGAATGCCTTCATGAGCAAAAGGGTGTGAGCAACACGAGAATTCACCAGTTCATCTGACGTTTTTTAAAGGGTCCTTGGAAGAACTGTCCGACTTCTCCCTCAAACTCTTCAGCTCATTCTCCGACCTATCACGCAGCTGCTTGATCTCGCGCATGCGTGCCTCGCGTAGGCTGGCAAGGGCGGAATACCAAGTTCCTATGCAGCACGGAACACTGCCATGATTTGCCATGGAGCGTCGCGGACAAAACCGGCGATCAAACGGCCTCGTCTCGCTCTTTCGCATCTTTGATGACCTGGGAGGTGAGGAGAAGTCTAACGTAAAGAGGGTGGAAAAGTGTGGAAAGGCAACGACTTGTTCCATGTTCTGCTTCAGATCTGCCGACTTGGCCGACCTTGCACCGAACAGGTTGGTTTGCACATCACGAATACATTACCGAATTTTTGAATGCGTGCAGATGTGAGCTGACTAATTCGCAAGACCAAGCTGATAAGGCCATCTCTCTTTCTCCAATTTCGCAGCGAGCTTTTGACCTAAAGAGGCCGCAGACTGAATGCATGTCCGAAAGGGGGGCTTCAAAGGACGACAAAAAACGACTCAAAGATGTGCTGCTAATGTGCGGTTAACCAATCTCTTCCACCCAGCTGCATTCCTCCTCGCTCTTCTTCAACTGCTTGACCTGCTGTCGAACCTGTACATGAGCTGCACGTGTCGTGTGAGCACCTTCAGCACCGTGACAAAGGCAGTCTCATCAGGGAAAGGTACTAGGATGTACTAGGAACACTTGCAAGTTGCAAGAGCAACCTCAGGGCCTGCAAATGCCTGCAATCAACTCTCAGCATCTCTCAAACTTCTCAACCCAAACAGGACTCTCCGAAGGCCTCAGCTTGAGCTGTTGCCAACTGGTCCTCTGCAGTCTTCAACTGCTCTGACCTCTCTGAAATGGCCAACTCAAGTTTCTACACCGCAGTACAGCGCAGCTCATAGGCCAAGGATGGCCCCAGGGCATCGTTGATGCGTCGTAATCGCAGTCCGTCCGAGTTCGCGGCAGCTTCTTACCCTGAGTTTTGGCATCATCGCAGCTCTTCTGCAGCTTCTGCAGATTACTTTGAAAGGCCTGCCGCACGACTCTGCATGCGACGACATGGGCAAGTCAAAAATGAAACGCTCCTGGTTACATGCGATAGGCACGCTCGAACAAGGTCGGCATACACTTGCGCACTGTAGAGGCGTTGCTCCATCTTGATTCTTGATTGACCTTTTCCCGTCTTTGCCAGGAGTTGATACTCCTTGCCCTTGCCAGGTCACACGCTATGTCCCTGTGCCATGTCCTGCGATTCAGCTGGACATCGATACCCACTGTCCAGAAAAAGGACAGCCCATGACAGCAAGCATTCACTGGCAAAGCTTTCAGCCGGGTAACTGAACAATCTATGCACTCGAGAGTGGTGAAACTGAAGCTTGACAGAGAGCACTCTGTGGTGGACTCGAAGAAAAGTCTTTAATTGCCGAAATCATGCAATCGTTGTCATAACTGCTCACCGTCCGGTTGAGCCTCAGTCAGAGCGAAGCTATTTGCCGGGGAGAACTCTGCCCACTTGCCCCCGTTTACGAGCCTTGCGTCACACTTACACTTCGCGCGGGGATCACCAACCGACGTCCGCTCGGAATAACTTATCATCTGATTCTGCGGTGCTCTGCCGACGGCAAGGCGGTGAGGCGACATGTGTGCCAGGCTTGTCGGCGACGGCGCTTTGCATTCTGCCTGAAAAATTGATGCGGATGTCGGCCGACGACCTCGCTTGTTCGCGTGAGCGAGACTAGAGAAACGAAGCCGTTGCACTGCTGGCGACGGCAGCTACTTTTTCCTTGAGAGGAACCAGGTGTGTGGATCGACCCAACGAATCACACGATCGGTCAAAATCTTTTACGCCCAGCCACACCGCAATATGGCCGATTCGGACGGGAAGCCTCTGCAAGAGACCCTGTGGAGGCGCCGGCAACAGGTTTCTGAATTTGTTCGCCTTCTGCAGGCGTGTTGTCGTACTGGAGGCTCATTAAGCGGAATGACATGGATGACCATCGGAAGCCTCACCAACTCAGCCGAATCCAGCTTTGCTCGTCCGAAGAAGAATGTGCATGGATTGATCCCACCTTGTTACTACCAGCTGCTACCGTACAAGTAGCTGCTAGCACACCTGCTCACATGATTGTCAGCATTTACGCATGGCACCCAAGTCCTGCGACTGCTGAAAGATGCTTCTATGCCATTTTGTCGCCTTGCCAGTCCACCTGCGTGGGCTTTTGACTGCACTTGTTGTTCTGCCGAAGTACTCGAAGCTCAGAAATCTCAGATTATTGCACATGCATCTCAACGTTGGAGCTGCATGTCTGGATTCTTTTCGTGAAGACATATCTGCGGCACTTCTTGGTGAAACATGTGAGGGCTGCGGTAACTTGAAGTTGTGATCAATGCGCAGTGCCTTCTCAAGAGTATTGCAGATCTGCAAGTTCCACTGCCCAGAGATGAAGTGCCGGGAGACGCTGGTCGTCTTGGTTGCAGAAATAGCAAACACTTTCAAATGGGCCGTTCATGTCCAGAGCGCAGAGAGTGCAGAGAGATGCGTGTGAGCCCACATCTCGCGGCTCAAAGTGCCAACTCTGTGCAGTTTCTTGCACATGCACAGAGGTAGGCATGTCCCAGAGCAGGGATTGCCTTCATACATACGCCCAAAGAAATACAACATCATATAACATCATTATAGGAACCCGCCAAAGAGCACCCCTATTGTCGGAAACCACCATATTCACAGACATTCATCAGTCACATTCAATCATACGTTCACTTGCCCTCGAAGAGATGGCTGACATCCTTGATGGTGATGCTGCCCAGACCAAGGAAAACAAGCAGGAGGAAGGCCAACCTGCAAGAGGCTCCCCCAAGCAAAAGCTCGGAACAGAGGACCGCATTGCAGGTTGCGCTGGTGCAGCAAGTGCTGCTCAGAAGCTCCACATTTTGCTTCCTGCTCTCGTCAAGGCGCTGGCCACTCACCTCATGTTAGGGTGGCACGCCATATGGGCACTTCATGAATGGACTCGTTTACCAGCCGTCTACCTTCACGCGGCAAACCGCCGACTCACATCTTTCAAGACCTTCAGCAGGGTCCCGTTGTCGCACCTGCTCCGCAAGGACAAAGAGCGCCTTGCCACCGTCCAACGCGGGCAGCGGCAAAGCATTGATGAAAGCCTCGGAAAGCTGCACTTGCAACATGTAGTCGTGGTTAGGTGCACAGTTTGTTGATGAATGTCAGACAGTCACCATGCAATTCTCCAGGACCTGTTTGTCAACAGCAGCCACATGTTGTTCGAGCGAAGTCAATGTAAGAAATTGTCAGAAGATGTAGCAAGCCAAGAGCCGCGGAAGTCCCGGGAAAACCCTCCTCCCCAGGATCGGCGACCGAGACAGTGCAGGAGCTTTCAAGCGATTCAATTAACAGCTTTGGCAGCACTGCAGTGTGCACGGATGTTTCTGCAAATCGTTGGGGCTTCTTCTTGCTTTCAATGCCGAGGCGGCTGCGAGAGCTTGGCCAAAGAATGCCGGTATGCGATTACAATCGATGAGCGTGCTGAGCCCTTGGGGAGCATCGTGCTTGATAGTAGAGCCGGTAGCCCGGTCGCATGCACAACCCGGAGACAACCAGCTCAAAACTTGCAAAGCACAACTCCACGGGTGTGCGCTGTCCATGCCTTCAAAGTGCCGAATGCAACAAATTTAGAGCGGGTCATGACAGCTGCTCTCTGCTACACGCCGTGGCAGAAACAAGCTGAGCTGGCAACCAAGTTCAGGTTCACAGTCACCTCGGCAGCTTGGCAGCTGTGCGGTTTAGGGTTTAGGGTTTAGGGTTCAGGGTTCAGGGTTGAGGGTTGAGGGTTGAGGGTTGAGGGTTGAGGGTTGAGGGTTGAGGGTTTAGGGTTTAGGGTTTAGGGTTTAGGGCTCAGTGCCAGAAACGTACCCACGTGTCATGTTGCCCATGTTGCCCGTGTGCCATGCCAAACTATCTCAAGTTGTTAAATTGGCCATTTGAAAGGAGGCCCTGAGAGTCGTTCCAGAGACTCCAAACAACTGAACATGAGGAAGTTCACAAAAGCCCTCTGCACTCTCACAAGCACAGGAAATAAGATGAAATAAGCCCCCAAAGTCTTTTTGCATGCCCGAGTCGCGAAGAAGATGAAAATTCCCAGCAAGCCTTCTGCAGCCACCAAGTCCTCGCCCTGTTTTACGATGCCCACGGGGCCTCTGATCAGCGCAAGCTGGGCAAGTGCACGGCATTGGCAAGACCAAGGCAGCTTCACGACAGCGCGCCTACCATCTCTCCAGGCCCCATGCCTGTGAAAAGTCCTGCGCAGAGGAGCTCTAGACATTGTAACGGCCCCTCAGCCCCTCTGCTTACAGCGAAGTCCTTCGAGAGCCTTGACCTGCTCATCCAGAAGCTTGGTGAGCACATCCTCGTCACGATGGACATGTCGGACCGCTTGTGAAGAAGCCGTCGGCCAGCATTTGGACGATTAATTATGCAAAATGGGCTATGAAGTGCACCCAGTTCTGAAAAACGCTCAATCCTTACAGTACGTAGAGCCTCTACCTTCCTCAGCACATGCGACACAGTCGGCGACAGATGCACAGAGAGGGAGAGAGAGAGAGAGAAAGAGAGAGCTAGAAAGCAAGAGACGGACAGGCAGACAGACACTACCGCGCAACTAGTCTGAAGATAAGTCTCTGTTGCCACACCTGCAGCTTCCTTGGCTCCGGCATGTTGGCCATCATTTGACCGTGCGCACCCTGTGCCGATCCGGGAACCCAACACGGAACTAGTAACTAGACATCCGCCGAAGCGGTGAGGCTGTGAGGCCGTTCTGACCTGTGCAGTGAACCCCCTCCCCTGTTTAGGACTAGCATCCATCAAACGAAATTGGCATATTTCCCACTGAGGGTTGGATGACGGACTTGTGGGACATCCCATGAACGGCTAAATTGAATATTGTTGAGATCCGACTTGAATCTGCTTGCCCGTGACCCCGTGCGACCCCTGTGACAGGGAGCTCTTTTCGGGATATTAGCTTGAAAGCCCAGGGGGCAAAATCAGGAAAAACCTTGACATTTGCTTGTATTTTCAAAAGCACGAAAAAAAGAAAAAGAAAAAAAACAAAAGACACTCCTCAAGCACGTTTTTGGAGATGTGTTTCGCACCGTCTCCACACTCTGGTGGCTCGCACACATGTTCTTGTTTCCCTATATGAAACGCATGACTTTTCGGGTTCGACGCTTTGCATGTCGTTTGGCGTCAATATAAATGGATACGGTATGTGGCACTCTTTTCCGTCGTACTTTTGTGTTGGTCTCAAAGCAATACTGATTGCTGGCGCAGTCCCACTACCCACACCGTAGCACGTCTGGGTATGCACACCCGCGCCCCGGCCAACTTGATTATTAATTACTCTATTGTTTTTTCCTTAGCGGCTTTCGGGCTTTGCGAAACACACTACCAATTCTTCATGTCATGCTTCTCACTTGGATTTACGTTGATTTCGGAGCTGGACAGCAGCATGCCTCGCTGCTCAGAAAATTCGGGTTTCCGGGGGAGGGACCGGCATCTATCCGTACATGCAAAGACGAGTAGAACATATCCTTCTGCCCAAGCGTCTGCAAAGCTTTCCGCTTTGGCCAGAACTCGCACAGAGTTGGTTTCGATCATCACGCCAAGCCTTTGCAACCTGAAAGTGCAAGGGGACGGCCTTATTACGACCCGACCATAGCTGATATCAGCACTGTTCCATTGGAGACGGAAGGCCTCCTTACTAGGCCTACCGAAGGAAACAACTGCAGCCATAGAGCCCGGTGTTCGGGTCGGTGATGGTGTTTGCAGTGAGCATGACCTCCTCAGCCCCTCTTTGAACCAGCATCTCGACAGGCCTGAAAGCGCAATGAGGACTCACTTGGACTCGCTCTGTTACACTCCGATACACGTCGGCACAGGCTACAAAAAAAACTGAGATGCCCTTGGCACTCCTAAGGCCCCAGAAGCAGCTTCGACAATGTGCCTTCCAGCAGGAAGTTGATTGATGTACGCCACCGTCTGACCTTCGTTCGCTCGCGAGGCCACATCATGTCGACTTGGGTATTTGTGATGTCTTTGCCTTGGGATTTCGTCTGAGAGTCTGGCGCACTTGCGCGCCCGCAAAGTTCATGTCCAAGCCTGCATCAACAGAACGACACCGCTCCCAACTCCTTAAAACAACCTAAATTTACCCAAATGGGAACAAAATGGACAGATGAATACAGATGCTCACTTCTCCCGATACTCACTCTTTGTTTGAAGTTGGTCATGGTGATTCTTGACTCGGTACAGTAGTTTCTCGAAGCGCTGCGCGAGTCAGGCGTCATCACTTCAGCATGGGAATGGGACAGTTGTGACTTTCAGTTTGACGAAGTCAGTCAAGCTGGTTTTCACGCGGCCTCCAACGCGAAGCAACACGTCCGCAGCTTTCAAGCCAGTTCGTGCAAAAGCTTCGTCATCCACAGCCTCCAGGTCTTGCTCTCTGCGGCGTTGCATTCCAGAATACTGTCGGACTTGGATCTACTGGTGCGGGTTTATGCTGCTTGCTGTGAGTTTTTGCCAGTATTGGCAGAAAGTGCTGATATGGAAGGCCACTGCAGCACTGCTGACGAGCCCGGCTCCGAACTGGCCCACCTATAACTGTTGTACCGGATGGGTGCAGACCCTAAACCCTAAACCCTGAACCCTAAACCCTGAACCCTGAACCGTGTGCAGTGGTGGCTTTATCTCAAAGTTGCAGGACACGATCCTGAATGTCCGGCTTGCAGAAGCTGACCCCGTCGTACTCATGCCAGATGCAGCTCGGTCACTTGGATGCGAATGCCCGGGAGAAAATCCTTCGTAGGGACTCCAGCTATCAGGGCTCCAGCTGCCAAGGAAGACCAAGCCTCACAACGGACTGCATCAAACAGAGTCTGAAGCACGTGTCCATCATAAGACACTGGTACTCAGAATGAAACATCTCTGGCCGAGACGCAACTGCAAGATTTGCCAACACACCACCAGCAAGAACCCAAATCCGCTCTGGAGTAGATCGGGCATCAAATTCCGTGACCTGACTCATCTTTGCATCAGGGCAAGAACAGTTTAGGGTTTAGGGTTTAGGGTTTAGGGTTTTTGTGATTTCCATGGGCACTTCTAAGCAAACAGGGGCGATCGGCATCAGAGACATTCCGGGAGCTGGCTGACCGACATGCAAAAACACTGCCCGAGATGCAAAAGCTGTAGTGTTTTTTTTGCATCGCGGGCAGCCAACCCTGAAAGTCGGCCAGCAATTTTGCCATTTTCTTAGTTACTCTTTCCAACCGGAGCGAAGTTTTTGCACCAAACGCATCCCATCCCATGGGGGGCAATTGTTGGAAGCAATATCACAATAAAATACAATGAATCAGTCATAATCAGTCATCTGAACCCGCGCTGCTGTCAAAAAGTGCACAACTGGTCTGGTGACCATGAGCGCACATGACACACAGTAGGTGCGGAAAGCATTCGCGCGCGTGCAGTCAGATTCATTCTTGTAGGAAGGATCCGCAAAGCTGACAGGGTCTTTGCCAACGCGCTGGAAAACTGGCTTGGAAATGGGGGAGCTGCATGAAGCACAACAAGGAGCAGCGATGAGCAAAGCACTGCTGCCGCAGTTTCCAAGGTCAGAAAAAGGAGAGTCGCATCATGTCGCAACATGTCGCAACCTCCAGCAACTGGGAATCGCACCATGCGACCATCTTCAAGCTTCACTGTTTTCGCATCCTCGAACCTGACCTGGAAACAGGAATGGGCTTCACGTCATGTGCCCGGACTTACGGAATGATTGCGATACGTAGGCCCATCCAACTTGACTCGAGCGGCATAGCCACCGATTGGGAAGGCCCTCAAGACAAACTCCGTACCATCAGGGCTTCGTCCAAAATTCACCACCTGTGAGGCAGTGAGGCATGCTGAGCATGCACTCAGATGGCCAACTCGACAACGATACCTCATTCAGAACCTTTTGCACACTTGCAACCCACGACACTAAGCGGCAGCCGGGAACTCATATCGAGTCTAGATCCGAAACTAAACCACAGCTTGCATCACCTAGCAAGGGCTAGAAAGCTTGGTGATATCCCATGAACCCCTGGCAACACCGAGCCCCAACCATCATCACTGGGCATGGAAGCCTAACTTTGCGATTATTGTCATGTGAATTTGAACTATCGAACTTCAAGGAGCTGCATGGCCCTGCTAGACCGACTAGAACAACTCACGGCACATAAGCCGATTGGCCTACCTGGCACATGACTCATGATCGTCCAGGGCCGCAGCCAGCGCATACCGGATACCGGAATCTTGAGAGCATTGCTACGCTTTTCAAAAGGCCCGGCTGCCTCGGGCCCGAAGCCCAGGGCGAACTCTGCTGCAGGGAGCCCAATGCTCCGCAGACAGAGGAAGTGTCCAGCCTCGAAATCAAGCCGAAAGGGCAAAGGAGTCAGGTCAGCAGATCGTAGGGCCGTAGGGGTGCCCAACATGCACACCTGAGGGGTAAGTAAGCTTCCGTGGGATGGGCATCCATGAGCGAAACTTTTTCAGAAACGCACATGTCTTCAACATGACCTTGATTGACCTTGCTACTCAATGCCAGATTTTCGTCCGACAATGAACGCACTGGCCTCGTGGCAGACAATCGCCAGCGCCAAGGCACCAACTACCTTCGCTACTGCCGACGTCCGCAACAAGGCTTGAACTGCTTTGACATGCACGGATGCTACTGGCTTCTATGTGGCTGCCAGTCATCGATTCTATGCTTAGAGTACAACAGACATCCTCCGCACGACAAGATGCTATGGCCGGTTGATCAGATGGAACCCCTGCAAGTGACACGGCCAAGGATGAGCCGTCTGCAGGCACCACCTTGGGAGCACTGTGGCTTGGCCTACTTTCCTGCACATCAGAAGCGATTGAAACATATTGAAACAAGGCCCACAAGCTAAGCTTCTCGCTGAAACCACACACTTAGGACGCCGTTGCTGTGGCCGCCTTAGCGGTCATCTCCAAACGGATCCAAGTCGGGTTCTGCCGGGCCGGGATCTGGATCCCATCGAGCAAGTATGGCAAACAATCTAGGAGCTTGGTGACATGCTGTGCTCTCTGCAGCTGCATGGAACTGAGATGTAAACAGATCGGATGGCACTATGACTATGACAAGGGGCCTCCGCACGGCTTGGACGCCCAGCACCGCGAGGCCCAATGCAACAGGCAAGCGCTCTGAGCGGGAGCGCAGGAATGACACAGCAGCAGCATTCAAAATGATATAGCGCAAGTCAATGCTTTAGGAAATTTGCTGCTTTCTAATTCAAATCATCATTCACCTGAATCTGCATATATACAAGATCCATCCGAAATTTACACATATACACCATCTCCAATACTTATATCTATCTATCGGTGTGAGGAATCACGCGTGTTCGAACCAGACAAGTAGTTCAATATAACCTAGCACTTTTGCTCCAAAACTTCGCCTCTGCCTGCCAAATTCGCGCGAGGAAACTGCAATTCGATGCCCAGCTGGTGGGTCCCACAAAAGGCGCAACAAAAACGTGAAAGACTGGTTGGTCTCCTCCTCAAACCTTTCTGCGCCCGTTTTGCAAGGATGCTTTTGGCACCTCCTGGACTCCCTGGAACTCCTTCCATGACCCCCTTGCCACCATCTGCCACTCAAGCTTCACTTAGGCAACAAGCACTCGGGCACAGCAGAAAGAGTCTGCTGACGCGAATTCACGCAAACAGGTCTTCAGGGATCCTCCAGCAAGCCTTTCTTCACGAGTTACGCTGCATGTTCAAGGTTTCGGGTTTTCGGCCTGGGTCGGATGCCTAATTAAACCTAAACCCTAAATTACATCCTGAAACCCCTAAACCCTGAAGTGTCTGTTTTTCGTACACTCGTAGTCCACTTCCGCATTTGAAGCCCAATTGTGTAGACTGGAAGCGCTGAGGTGCACCGCTTGGACCGCCGACGTGCACGTCCCGTGGCTTGGGTAGGCACGCTGCCGAGGCGGCATGCGCAAGCATTTAAATTTCGACATCGGGTATGTTCTGGACATTGAACACATTCACTGGACAAGCGAGAGGAAATGCTGATGAAAAACTAGCTTCGAGATTCTTGTTTCTTGGTGAACCCTTGCGCCTCTACTCTCCTGGCTCCTTAGCCTGGTAGCCGCACGTGGGCAAACAGCCACAGAAGCCTCAAGCCACATTGCGTTTGCTCATGTCTCAACATGTCAATGGTATACTTACGTACGCAAACATTCAGCACTGCTCCAGACAAAAAACGCATGAGAGACATCGGTCAGTAAGAACAAGATTGAAATTTCAGTTGCTGGCAAATCCAAAGCTTCGAGCGGCCAAGCCGGCTAAGCGTGCTGTCCGAGGTGCGGCAGGCACTGATACTTTCACATGCTGCGGAGCTGCGGGAAAGGTTGCCATCACGCAGCGCAAGACGTGTCCCAAAAAATGCAAACGACATTAAAACACATGCACGACAATGACAACGCATCATGCTGTAGGTTTCCTTGGACCAACTCAATGGCCTCAAAGTGCAAGCTGTCTACATGGTCTTGACAGTTCTGCTGACCACAACTGCCAACAAAGATGCGATGCAAGTCTGTGTCAACTTGGTGAATCTATTGTGATTGGGCCATCTGGCTGAGGCCATTCTCAGATGCAGCTGGACATGGACACGAGTGAGAGGCACTGGCAAGCCATCCAATAGTCACTGGCCTAACGTGATTTGGATGTTGGCCGGATATATGCCAGACTTATCTAGCACACTGGTACACGCGTAAACCAATCGGGATACTACAATATGTTGTGGGTTGGTCTAACCAGTTGCCCAGCTGGAAAAGGTCGGCACCCTACCACCTCTAGGTTGAAGCGCAAGTTTTAAAGTAGGGTAATAACATGTTTTGCTTGCTTGGCATCGGTGGCATGTGTTTACGCGTGCTTTGACCTTTAGTCTTCCTCACATCCTGCTCATCTTGTAAGGTATTTGCACAGTTTCGTGCATATACTCCTTTTCTCGACAAGCTAGTATCGAGTTTGCATGGGTTGTCCGAATGCATGGAAGAGGCAACGCGAATGCAGCTGGACATGTGGTACTACTAGCGAGACATGTGCAGTTGCACCAAACTGGGTGAGTCGAGGCCCCGGCTGCACACATTGCTACCACACTCCATGGCTCGGCTCTGTGCGGCAAACGCCCAAGCATGACCGACTAAGTGACCCCGTCCCGTCGCTGCATTTGTCGCGTGATTCTGGGTGAGGGTGGTCCAAAGTAAATCCCACAGACAGGTCAACTCACTGGAGCTTAGCAGGGTTTCTACATGTGTCTCTTGTGGGCCTGAGTCAAAGTCAGGGATAGTCAAGCAGTCAAGGTGATGCTTGCAGAACAATGCACAGATGCACCTCTCTGATGACTCATTGGGGCAAGGGAGCCTGTCTCTCCTTCTCGTGTTCGGCCAGTACCTGCCGTGCATTCAGTAAAATTTGGATGGCACGCCTCACAACACGCATCGATTCGGCTATGTGGGAAAATGTGGGAAAGCTCTCCGGAAATTCAAGAGATACGAGTATGTACTTCTGGCGGCCAGATCCTCAGACAGACCTCGCGAAGATTTCATGAGCTCGAGTCTGCCTGAAACGTTTTGCTAATATCAAGATAGAGCCGAAACGAGAATCGGAACCGCAGGAGCCGAACCGACAAAGAACCCGACTGCGTGCGAACCGAGCCGGATGCGAACTGCAGAAATCGACCCTGCTAGGGGCTCTGCCCGATTACCCCACACCATACAGACCAGGAAGCTGCTGCGGGGAGGTCAGTCAATGGCAGAAAAAGGGCTTAGGCAAGCCTACGGTGGGAGGGCCTCGACTCCCCCGGACACGTACCCAACGCTTCGGTGAAATGCAAAAACCTGTGCTCGCCGTGGACTGTTGGCTGGTGGGATTCGGGGCCCCAGCATGACGCGGAAGTCTGTTGGCGTCCGACCGCATGCGGTGACGGCAGAGGCCGGAATGCGTGGAAAAACACAGTTCGCACCCAGACTTTGACCACGGTTTTCTGATGAGAAAGCGCCCGACGGAAGCCAGAACAGTGATAAAAACACGACGGAGGCTGGAATACATGGGAAAAACGTATGTTGCACGTGGGGTTGAGATGTTAAAACTGCGAACCGCCCTCAACACTGCATTTGTAAGGCTGAGATGCTGAGCCCTGGCTTGTTAATGAGGGTACAGTTTGAGGGTTTGGGTTCGATTTAACATTTAAAGCCCTGAGCCAGCCGCGCCCGGGGCGGGGGGGGGGGGGGGTTCGGGGTTCTTTTTGTCATGCTAACGGGGCCTTTAACCTTTAACCATCAATAAACACGGGAAGCGATTATTTGAAGTCTTGGATTCCTCTGCCTTCGGGAGGATGCACGCAAATTGCTGTGCAATCATGTGCAATCTCAGTCGCAAGAAAGTGCCTCGAATGGCTAAGCGGTGCATGCAAGAGATGTCATGCGTCAAAGCAGGGGTGCGCGGAGGCAGGCAGGGGCTTTCTGATTACACATTCTATCCCAACAACTGCCCTGCGCCTGTTACGACTGGTACGTTTCCTGGACTTTTGGCTCGCAGACACGTCTCTCAGCTGGACAGGAGTCTTTTCGGATCTCGAGCATGACAGCAGGAGGGATCTTGCGGGCTGACCTACTTGAGTTGGTGTTTTTCTTGAGCCGCGGACGATTGTCTGGTCTCGAAAGCAACCATTTTCGACAAAATTGGGGGAGGCATTCTCAAAACTCCTACCATGAGATCCTTACATGTTGTGATTGACATATGCGCTGACGAGCCTGCAAGCACTACCCATGCCAGACGTACAGGCAAACAGGCACCTGGTCGTACCGCTCCTTGGCTTTTTGCGTGATTTCCTGCGCAAGAATGCATAAACGAGGGAGGGGTTGTCATCATGCTTCTCACCGTGTAGCCGTTGCGAGCAAAAGTATGCGCCCCCGTGCTTATAAGATCCACTTGAAGGCATCCTCAAACAAGGCAAGAGTATGAAATCATTGAAAACACTTCTGCGCTCGGCTGCCATGCCAAGGTTGGGTGTTTCTAGATTACTTTCCAACAAATCTGCGTCGGGGCGCATGATGCAACTTGATGCAACCAGGGCTGTGAAGCACATTCGAATGGATTGAAGTTATCTAAAGTTCGTAGAAGCTCAGTATGCTCAGTTGTACGAACCGACATGAGATCATTGCCGTGACATGCATCTTGCCAGCAAGTCCTCGAGCCGGCACTGAGCAGCTCGCTTTACAGACCTAGAGCCCGCCAAGCACATCTCAGAATGCAACATGCAGTTGAGACTTACGGAATCGTCTGAATTGCTGCGGCAAGAAAAAAACTCGCAACAAATCCCCGAGGACCGCGCTCAAGCTCGTCCTGCTTTGTTCGCAGCTCTTCATCCAACTGCGACGAGAAGGGAACGACTTCGGTGGACGTTTTGCTTTGACGTTATATTTTTGTTTATCAATATCCACTCTTCCGACAGTACCTGCACAGCTTACGAAAGACAGTGCCATATCCAAGACCACGGTGATACAATTTTGGGCTGATTGCTGGTGCAATTATGTTTTTTGTACGTCGATGTCCTTCTCTGCTTCGGCATGTAGCACATGAACTTACTCCATTAGTATCGTATCGAATCTTCTTTCTCAGGCCGGCGCATGCCGTCGCCAGTTTGCTGTTTGTTCACGAAACATTTTCGCTCGTTGGGTCTAGAGGTGGTCAGTACTGGTCGAAACCCGCTTGGTCACATCATGTTGTTTAACTACCTTCACACCGTGCCGTATCTGTGCCCGTGTCGTTTCAGCCATACGTATATGCGTGCTTCCCTTTACGAGCTGCAGCTTCGTGCCGTTCAGGCGATTCCGGTGGTTCACATCAAACTCACGACTGATCCAGGCCACTCTTGGTAAACATGCTAGCTGAGTCACGCATGAGTTGGCAAGCCTACAGGGTATCAGCAGTACAATATTTTGGGTGTTCTACAGCCTGAACAGAACGAAGCTCCCGATGTAACCCCCATGCGATACAGCCCCGCTCAGTGCAGGGAGCCGTGTCTTTTGCAGGACCCGCAGAACCCCTGGCGGTCTAGTGCACCCCCATGCCATTCAGGTCATGAATGGTATTCGCATCTCCCATCGGTCAAGCTCATTGGTAGATCGGAGCCACTTCGCGGGCTCCCCTCACCGAGCTCTCGATCAACCTTTCAAGCACCGCCCCACATCAAGCACGCGCAGCTTAAATCGTTGCAATCGGTGTCTGGCGAACTACGTTCTTACATGCTTGTTCTTCGCACGCCTATGCCTATGTCAAAGTACCCTGGAGTTCACAGGCCACAATACAAAAAAAATGTGTAGCTGAATGCAATCATGCACAAGCCCGGTCCATTGAGTCTCGCGCCTGCTCGATCTGGCACATCGCATATCACCAATTCGTCCTGACGATAACTCAACAGTAGCCAATTCCCCTGAGCTTGTCGGACGGGCATTCCGTTTAGCTCGTTGCCACCAATTGGGCTTTAGAGGCTTTTTCTTTCGAAAGGCAGTGAAAACGACTTCGGACCAGTGTGGCGGGCACCCTCTAAGCCATGCAGCGGCATGAAACCCCTGCAGCCAGTACCTAAATAACATAATACCTAATACTGACATGTCCCGATATGCTTCGCACCGCTTCTCAAAACAATCAATTCTTACTGACCACCTTCTGAGAGCTGTCAGCCGCCACGACTGTTTTTCTCAAGTGTTCCCTTCGGGCCACGCGCATACATGGCTACCGGAGTGTATCTGTATTCTACACGGAGTTCCGCTGCTGACTTGCGCAAGGCGCAGCCTTCCCGTGTATGGCTTGAGCCATGAAAAGCCATCATCTGGAAGTTAGAAGCACGACTTTCCAGCAAAATCCAGCACTGTGGCGCCGATAAGTAGCCTGTGTTGGTGTCATTTGTTCAGGCGTGCCCTAGGTGTTCTTCCGCCCAGGAAACTTGCGAACTCTAATCTCAAAATCGTCCCTCTTGTCTGCAAAAGGCCTTGACCGGATAGTAGGCGTAGAAGCTCGCCGCGCTGAGCGTTCCAACCTCACAGTGCACCACAGCATGCTGCGCTAGTTTGCACTGCAAATGTAGACTTATTTGAAGAAAGTCGCGAATCACAACATACCGACCGCACATCTGCAACTTGCTAGATGGCTGTTCACCTACCTACTGTAGCAGCTGTAAAAGCCGCTTACTATAGCTCACATCCACGAGACACCTCCGCCGCTCAAGCCTGAGCCCCATTCAAGCCAAAGCTTGAGCCCTCCATTCAGAATTTTAGGCTCCTAAACCCTTTTTCAGCCTTGAGCTATCTAGAGCTTCTAGTCCCTTAATAAACTTAAGGCCCCCTTAGATCCTTAAGGCATCTCAGCCCCTCAAAAGCTCTTAAATGGCGATGCTGAGCGGATGGGCGCTGGTAAACTTGCACTCCTTGTAGCTGCACTCGAAAGGAGGAGTCGAACCTGGCAGAGTGGCAGTAGCACTGGTAGTCATAGTGCCAATGGCGGCAGACCCCTTGCATGTTCAGGATCGCGAGCTTGCCTCCAATGAACACCGCATGCGGTAGCGGGTAGAGCCGCATCCTTGGTGACGTCGCCCGATCGCACGCGGGTCGCGCACACTTTGTCTGCAGCTTGTGTGGCAGCAGTGTGATTTGCCTACCGCACAGGACCGAGCGCGTGATCGTATTCCCACAGGATGTTGCTCTCTTCAAGCGGTAGTGGGACAAGATGTGCCTCGTGCCAAGTAAAGAAAGAGTGTACAAGGGAGCTTGAATGCAATAGACAACACGCCCTGAGATAACAGACCCCAACAGCGAGGGAGTTGAAAGTATTGATTGTCACTCAGAAGCTCTTCATACACGTCCTTGTTACAAGCGCCAGACCAAGCATACCTGCTGTCTTGTAGCCCACACGCTAGGTCGTGCTGACTGTTTCTGCACCGCCACAAACTCATGTGCCTGGTCCAAGATGAACCGCGCAGCTTGTGTGTAGCGCAGGTCATCAAAGCCCGCCTGCAGTCAATTAGGCAGCTGAAGGCCTATCTTTCCCACCAGTCACAACCAAGCATTGCCACAAGATGTCAGAAAAACTTGGTTTTTGAGCTTTGTTTGGAAGTCTGCACGCCTACAGCCCGACACAACGTACCTTTGACATGATCAAACTCTTGCAGGTCTCTGTGCAAGCACTAGAATTATGACGATGGAAGTGAGCCTGCGACTCCGGGCACCGCAAAGGCACGGCCTGACCCGAAGCTTCAAAAATGTTTGCAGGGCTTGCGCACCACAGGGCTTTGGCACAGGGCTTTAGCCCGGGGCTTTAGAACTGAGTTTGCGAAGTCGGCCACCTGAAAGGATGGTTTCTTTTGCCCACCAATCCACCCAACAACGCCTCATGTCGCCGGAGCAGGCGCAGCACATCGTGGCCTCGGGAAGAAGCCAAAACTGGTAGGGCAAAGCAATGGCATCTTCACTTCCAGCTGGACACCTGAAACATTCGGAGCGTTGGCTCATGTCGGGTCCCAGCGGAAGAAGACCAGCTCACGGCTGTAGTGCCTCACCTCATGCAACTCAGCAAGAAGTAGGGGGATGGGGTGATGTTGCCTCACACCGAGCAATGTTATATCTCATTTGTTGTGCAGACACGAAATCTGACCTCCCAAAACACCTCCTCCTCCACCTCCTCCGCCTCCTCCTCCTCCTGCTCCTCCTCCTAATGATGCATGAACCGGCGCCCAAGCCCTTTGCAGTCACGAAATGCATCATGCAGTCAGCCTTTTTCTGGGTGCACCTATGGCCCAAGGCTCTCGTCATCCCCATTGTATTGCATCATGAATCATAGCTGTTCGCATCTTCCTTTGTCGAGCACCTTTTCCATGGGTGCTCACATCTTCTGGATTCCAACTCCTCGCACGTCGTCGGTGCTCAAGGAAGAGTACCCTCCCCCTCCACCCCCCTCCGCGTTTCTTTTTGGCACCTTGCATCCTCTCGTCTTCATCGCGCCCTGCGTTGAAATTGGGCGAAGCAAGCCATGAGCCATCATGAGCCCAGCTTCATTGTCACATGAGTGTCACCTGTGGCATTTCCTCGAGCTCCTCTTCTATCCTTCTCGGTTCCATGCCCATATCTTCGTGGATCTTCGCCATCACTGGCGCATTTTTCAATGTATTCGTGGATCTTCTCCGCCGTCGGTGCCTTCTGAATTTCCAAGTCCGTGCCCTCGTCGATTTTCTCTGTAACCGGTGCAACTCCGACTCTTTGGCTAGCTTCGCACAATCTTGAGCTTCAGTATGCTTCAGTTGAACCTTTCCCCAACAAGTCGGTGGTAATAATTACCCGAGACATGGAAGCGTGCGGACAGGGAGGCGTGACATCGAAAGTCTTTCGTTCGTTTGCTGACATAATCATGGTCCAATCGTCTGCTTCAGATTCCAACAGTTCGGGTTGCCTCCACATCTCACAAACACCAGATGTCTATCCCTTGCGAAGCCTGGAAGCTCTGCTGCCAAGAGGTTTGTTACCTTGAACCGAACCGGTTCAGCCAAATTACAGACCTAGCCGTTTTAGGTTCATAAAAAACTTGGGCCTTGCTCTCTCTTGGCTCCTTTGAGTGCTGGGGCAGACATTCCCGAGCCCCCCCCCCCCCACCCCCCCCCCCCCCCGCCCCCCAACCCCAACCCCCCCCCCACACCCCACCCCCCCCCCCCCCACCCCCCCCCCCCCCCCACCCCCCCCCCCACCCCCCCCCCCCACCCCCCCCCCACCACCCCCCCCCCCCCCCCCCCCCCCTCCCACCCCCCCCCACCCCCCGCCCCACCTCACTTTCCCCCCAGACCCCCCTGCCCGGCCCCGGCCCCCGGCCCCCCCCACCCAACCCCCCCGCCCGTGAAAGCCAGGCCAATCGGCGGCGCAGGGGAGTCCAGATTTCCAGCACTGCAAATCTGCACTCCCCAGCGTCGGGCCCGATGCCCGATGCCGGTTATCATTCTCGGCATCACTTTTTTCGAGCAAGCTCATCATAAACCTCATCGCAACCTGTCATCCTCCCCGGTCCTGCTGCGGTTTCCTTCGAACGGCCCGAACCGATACCCGCATGATCCCGCATGTTGGAAACCGAACCGAGGAACTGAACTGTTCATTATCAACCCGAAACCGAACCGGGCCCTTGTCAACGATGGACCCGACACAGTTGATCAGTATGGCAGTGTTGAGTACGTCGGTGACTTCAGGGGCTCGCAAAAAAGGCATGGACGCAAAGGCACCGAGGCACTACTTCAGGTGCAGTGTGGGGCAAGATTCCGGCAGCAAGGACCCTGACATCCGCGATGCTCATGTTTAACTCATTCTTTCAAAGTGACGGTAAACATCCACGATGTG